CCTGCCACGTTCACATCCAACAAGAATACACCAACCATTGCCTTTTGTGACTGGATTGCTGCACCTACATGTATCAATTGTAAGACAGACCCCATGACCCCCAGGAGAGGTACGTCATTGTCCAATAGTGAGTCAACCTTTTGTACAATCTATGCATGTACACACCTCAGTCATCAGAGTAGTGACACACAAAATGTAGTGGACATTTGATGATATTTAGCAACATTTTGACCCACCTTTTATGCACCTACCGGTACTGAATAACAGTGACACACCCATGATGTACCTAGCTTGACACAACAAATTGGAACTTGAACATGCCAGAGTTGTAATGACTCGAGTCAATGACTCAACTCGAGTCCGACTCGAGTCACATTTTTTGGTGACTCGACTCGACTCGAGTCCCGACGGGTAAATGCCTCGACTCGACTCGAGTCACTGCGAGCAAATGACTCGACTCGACTCGAGTCCCTCATCAGAATGACTCGACTCGACTCAAGGAAGGCTAATAAGACTCGAGTCCCAAAAATAAAAGCAAAACTTACTCGCAAAAAATATTTGCAATGACTTACGCCGCGCCGTTCGTGTGCCAGTTTTTGTTCACGTCACGTTATGTTCGTGAATAATATACGTTCATATACAGCCGCCGTCTGTTTTCCTTCCTCCATAATGATACAACAAACATACACCGTATCGCGGACTCCCACCTTGTGGTTCTATAGCATGTAATGCTAAACCTGGAACCAGACTTAAAATGCATTTCTCAGTCCGTGGTTTCATCATTGGTTTCAGGCGATTTCTTATAAAGCTCTTGGTGGAACGCTGGCTAAATTTATGTCCCGATTTCACACAAAAATTGATACGGACGGGACCAGCTTTAAATTATCAGAAACAGTTTTGTATAATGTAATTAGGTTTTGACGTTGTCAGCGATCATCGAAAAACAAAATCTAGACCCGAAGCCAAACCAGTTATAAGACCGACGTTTCACATCTTCTTATCTGTGACGTGAGCTAGCAATGGAAACTGTTGGTTGGGTACCATACAGCATACTTTATGTCTTTGGATTTTCGTAATAGACTGGTGCCTTGTATTCTTTCTCTCTTGTGTTTGTTGCTTTTTATTGTAATTTATTATATAGTGTTCAAATATTTGTGACTCGAATTGACTCGAGCTAAATACTTGACTCGACTCGACTCGACCACACACTGTGACTCGACTCGACTTGACTCGATCTTGTTGACCTAATGACTCGACTCGACTCGAGTCACTTCTTTAAAATGACTCGACTCGAGTCACAAAAATCAGTGACTCGTTACAACTCTGGAACATGCACCCCCCCCCCAACCAATGGGGTGTGTCTTACACTTGACAGTGTCTATAAAGCAGAGAATGTATTGTACTGGGATTTGGCATCTTAAGCCGATGACAGAGATTCAGGGCCAGGACTTAAGTAAACTTATGATTTTCTAAGCTTGGGGGTGATGCTAGATGAATGAAAAGACTTATAGTACCGGTACTGTTTTCCCCTCAATAAAGGCACATACAAGTATATAAAAGAGTTAAAGTGGAGGTGGGTAGGACATGTAGCAAGAATTCAAGACAACAGGTGGACTAAGAAACTGACAGATTGACAACCAGGAACAGGGGCACACAGTGAAGAGGAAGACAAAAAAGGAAGATAATGGAGAATATTGGCTGGACAGAGAGAGGAATGGTGCATTCTGTAGCCTCCGGATGATGATGATAATGATTAAAATGAAGTGTCTGATTTTGTGATGATGTCATGCATATTCAATCTACGTAAAGGTAAAGGTCCCATAACCAGTACTGGCCGTAGGGGCAGTGGGATGTTAGAGGTCCACTGTGTCTTGGGCGCGGCATATGAGTGGCGGTGCCCAGTCCTCTCCTCTCCCCGTCTTACCTTCCCTGAATGAATCAGGTACCCATTTTACTGTTGGGTCGTCAGAGTTTTCCAGGTTTTGGTTCGAATGGGATTCGAACTGCAACCCTTCCACTCCGTAGCTCCATGCTCTAACCGCTCGGCTATGAGGCCCCTCTTCAATCTAGAATTATTATAAAATTGAAATATTATACCAAGCCCTGGACTGTGTGTTGAACTCAGCCTACATGTATCATGTCTTGCTGTGGTGTACAGCACGGAGCTAATAGCTTCATGAGTGTAGTATATATACATGTATTATGTCACCAGTGTAGGCCCCTGCTGTTGAACGTTTTAGTTCATAAGACTCTAGCTTGTTAATTGGCTATAGAGCCTGCACTGTTTGTCTTGTGTCTTTGATGGCACAGCCAGTGAGAAAGTGTTATGACAACTAATTGATGTGCCAACAAGCCTTCTACATTGCAATGCTGTCTGTATCCAGTTAGCAAACTCTTTTATTTCACACTTCACTCAGTTTACTGAATACTGATACATGTACATGCAGTGATATAGATACATAGGTGAGACTGTAAGCCTACATTATAAGTGTACTTTTTTGCATACATGCTGGACCCTGCTGTGGAGAGCATTAGGACATTCCACTTTCTTTTTTTGGTACACATGAGCAGAGAACTGTGAAAAGTACTCGCTAAAAGGTACAAGTGTTTGCGTAAACTCTTGTCACAGGAGGATCTGTCTGCACTCAGGAAGTCAGTGTCTGAACTAACAACATACTACTTCAGCATTCAATGTTTGGACTAGTTAGTTCCTGCCTTGATCTCTTCTTCAAATAGCGGAGATTTTACTTGAGAAAAAAAGCTGTTGAATGGCTCTGTACTGACTTGGTCCAGTGTTGTAGTAGGGTCTATCACAAGCCACTTCACAAGTCCAGTCACAAGTAACAGGGGATTTGTCACTGGTGGCATGGGTGGGTAGTGCAAAAAGCGCTCACCTCTCACCGCTGTGGCCTGGGTTCGATTCCCGGCACAGAATACTGGTGGCATGGGTGGGTAGCGCAAAAAGCGCTCACCTCTCTCCGCTGTGGCCTGGGTTCGATTCCCGGCACAGAATACTGGTGGCATGGGTGGGTAGTGCGTAAAGCGCTCACCTCTCACCGCTGTGGCCTGGGTTCGATTCCCGGCACAGAATACTGGTGGCATGGGTGGGTAGTGCAAAAAGCGCTCACCTCTCACCGCTGTGGCCTGGGTTCGATTCCCGGCACAGAATACTGGTGGCATGGGTGGGTAGTGCGTAAAGTGCTCACCTCTCACCGCTGTGGCCTGGGTTCGATTCCCGGCACAGAATACTGGTTGCATGGGTGGGTTGTGCGTGAAGCTCTCACCTCTCACCGCTGTGGCCCGGGTTCGATTCCCGGCACAGAATACTGGTGGCATGGGTGGGTAGTGCGTAAAGTGCTCACCTCTCTCCGCTGTGGCCTGGGTTCGATTCCCGGCACAGAATACTGGTGGCATGGGTGGGTAGTGCGTAAAGTGCTCACCTCTCACCACTGTGGCCTGGGTTCGATTCCCGGCACAGAATACTGGTGACATGGGTGGGTAGCGCGTAAAGCGCTCACCTCTCAATGCTGTGGCTCGGGTTCGATTCCCGGCTCAGACCACATGTGAGTGGAGTTGTTCGTTGATTCTGTCCTGTGCCACGAGGGCTTTTCTCTGGTTTTCCTCCCTCCACAAAAATCAACACTTTCGATCTCTGGCTTTGCTCCGTGTCATACATGGGTCATGTGGCTGCTGCCTAAGGTGCCCTTACATGTACATGACAGCGGCTCGACCACGTTGTAGCCGTGTCCTTCGCAATTAAGCTTCTCATCTGCGAGTAAGGTTGATTAGCTTCCCAAATTATTGAGTGATCGGGTACAACCTGATCGCCGTTTAGAAGTATTCGAATAAATCTTCTTTGTTTCTTTCCGTCTTTGTTACGGACAATAATTCTCCGCGGGTTTTCTTAATTCTCAAGGTTTACAGTATAAACTTGTAACTTTGAACTAATATCATCCCTGATCCAAAGGTGTGTATATTACTCTGACGTCATGATGACGTCATCAGGTATCAAATGACAAGCAAGTTTAGTTGAAAAAGTGATTAACGTCTGTCACTTATAACTCTTGAACAGAACAATCAATGATGTTTGTATTTTGTAATCAGAGAGATCGCTAATTGATAAACATTTTTTGTTGCTTGATCTTTACTTCCAGGGCTACCAGAAGGTCAAGGTTAGGTGAATTTAAAATACAGAGAGAAGCCTCTAAATCAAAACAAACCTAATTTCTTCCAACAATTCACAAGATGATGATAAAACCTGGTATGAATTTGAACCCTGGTCCAAAGATGTGACAAAGAGTGTAACGTAATCATTACATCATCAGGTATCAAATTACAAATGATTTGAGGTCAAAATTTGAATAATTACTTTGAACCATAACTTTTCAAATGAATGGAGTACCGTTCTTATTCTTTGTGATCAGTTAAACATTGCCTTTCCTTTGGCAATATTTTGGATTCCCGGGCACAAAGCCGTAGCTGAAGGATTTTGCAAGATTGAGGCAGCTAGTGGTCACCCCTCCAAGGACCACATTCAAGAAACAAGGGATGGTTTTGGAGGAAAGGCTGAATTTCATGATCCTTTTTCTGTTCTGACATACAAATATTCACAACTGGACAATGTCCTGTGAAAGTTTTTAGCCCAATCACCCAGCGTTTGTAACTTCAAAAACGTGAATCTCTAGTTACTATTATTATTATTAGTATTACTCACCGTTCATTTGAATAGCTTGTGACTTGGAAATGAATGAATTAATTACGATAGACTTGTTAGGACTTTTGATGGACCTGTTATGGACTTTGCCACACCATTGAAGTGGTTCTATTATGCTCTTACATTAACACTAAGAAAACATGCTCTCCCAACTTATTTACATTTTGTGGGAGGGATCAGTTTTGTAATGAGCTGATTTTGTCTTCTACACCTATAGATATTTCCAAATTCAGATTCCCACTTTACTTATTTAAAAGCTCAAGTTTGTTTGAATGTTTCTTCACAGTTTCTAAGAGGATATTTCGTAAGCCAAGGCGATATACCGGTGCTGCTACTGTACCCCAGAATTTTGCCGTCAATCTAACAACTCCTAGTCCGTCCTTTAGGCCAGACTATGATTCACAAGGCGGGACAGCTTACACCATGACTGAAGCAACTGATTTCAATCAAGGTAACATATTTCACCTCTGAAATTTCATTTCATCATTACAATCTGAGACACTGAGATGTCACAAATTCTCGACAGTCACTTGGAAGGTATGAAAGAAAGCCTATCAAGAATACGGTATGTGTGCGTATCTGAGCTGATGTATGATCAGCCTGAGGAGAAGCAGGTTGGCACAAACGATTTGGTTTCAATAACCTATAGTCATAACCATTCAGGCTGGTTTCATACTAGGAGCAGGACTTACAAGAGGTATTAAGTGTGGTGTGCCCGGTACACTGTATACCTCATGCCTTGAGCAACTCTGCAGCTCCTTTATTGATTGCTTGTTTTGCTCCATGCCAACTTTACTCATTTATTTGATAAGAGCGTGTTAACCATTGTACAAAGTGTACAGATACATGTTGTGTCTAGCGTTACACTGTGTGGCATGATTTGGGGGCTTGAAATCAAAGCAATTGATGGAAGAATTAATTGTTTGTAGGTTTTAGTATCAGGCCTAGGATATTGGATCTTGTGACAAGGCGTACACGTATGCGTAGCCCCAAGCCTAGCAAAAATCAATCAGGGATTCGATATGAATAGGATGAAAAGCAGTAGTGGCTGTAAGGTTAGAGCTGGTAAGAGCTAGCGTGGAGCTTGCTAAGGATGGAAGTTATTTTGGCTTACAGACATTGCCGGTTCCAAGTGGTAATGTAAACCAACATCGTGTCTCAGTTTGCTGTTTGCCTCAAAACCAATTTGGGGTATTTGGAAAGACGTAATCATGCGATAGCCCACTGGAAAACTGAATGGGCAATGTTTAATTGAATTTTAAGAAATTAAAATGATTCACTCTTCCCACTCCTGACATACATGAATGTTTTATTAAACATTTAGATAAAATGTAAAACCTGTGGAAAATACATTCTTCTTTGAAGGCACATATTTGGATACATCCATTTCTTCTGATTGTATGACAATAATGACATACATTTTTATTGAAATTAAACAAATGCACTTTTATATGTTAACATGGCCCGTGCTATTTCTAACAACTGAGGGCGCTGTTGCTGTGATATCACTTCAGGTACACACTCTTCAATTTAGGGGTTTTCTGTACAAATTGTTAACTGTGGTTAACTCATTTAAAACAATTGTGCTTGAAGTTTGACATCAATTCTGGCAGCTTTTATTACACTGAAGCATATAACACTAATGCTTCAGCCCCAGGGTGACATTGTGATGTTGCTGATTACGTAGCACATTTGCATCAGCATAAAGAAATGGCCCTAAGGTACCCTTGAAAATGGAAATACAAAAACTAAAGTGAAGCAAAAATGGGACACAAACGTACATTTTAAAGGATTGCTTTGTAAAAAGATGTATTACATGTACATAGACCCTTTAAGCCAAATGTGGTGCTGAACAAAAGTAATAACACATTATTAGTAATTGCATTCAAGTATTAACAAGAAGACATGTTGATGACCACCTGTGTGTATCGTATCAATGCATTAACAGTTATTTTTCACTGATTTTCAAACAACCAGTTATTGCAACTGAATATTAATGAGTTAAATTGAGAGTAATGAGTTAAGGAATATTAATGAGTTATGAATATTCATGTTAAGACTGACCATTGATCTTTATGTTCTTGATACTACATGATTGTTAGGGTTTGTCACAGCCAATGATAGCTCTGGCACAATCAGCTCAACTGCCAACACTAGTCTGAGTGAAGGACCTCCCACACGGAATGATCAGGATCAAGCATCAGGATTCTTCACTAGTCTGTTGGCTGCCATAGGCAGTATTCAATGTATGTACAAATATTGATCATTTTTAATTAGTTATTAGTTAACGAGGCTTTGTCTCGCTTGCTTCACCTCGCCTGCTACTACAGCGTGTGTCAATAAAAACGCAGGATTCAAAGCGATTTTTTTTTCTGAGAAAATTATGCTACTGGTGTGCCTACTTTGATAAGGATTTGATTGTCCATAATTTCATCTTTGACAAGATTTTTGTTTGGTGGAATTTGGACTTTTGGTTCAAAAGTTATGACAAGTTTTGTGAAGCCCTTCTGAAGCGGGTTGGTCTGCAACGACCAGTTATGTACAATGCAGGTATGCATTGAAGACAATTAAACCAGAACAAAACTTTCTTTGAAACAACTGATGATAAGTATCACTTAAATTTAATAACTGGACTATCATTGTTTCAAAGCATCATGAATGTCGTCTCTGACATATCAAATAACATTGATTGTGGACTAAAGGATTATGTAAACCTAATCCTGCCACACATGTCCTTCTTTGTGATTCACAAATACTTTCACCTGTACTGAATTCAAACCTTTCATTAGGTATGTGTGATTTCACAAATCAGACCAGCTTGGAATTTATAACCCTTCTTCAATGTACTCTATCTCTGGACAGGATTGTCCAAATGAGATGGGATAAAAAGCATAGTGAAGAGAAGGAAAGGTACTTTGAAAAGAGGGTTAACATTATGATGAATAGGGGTGGTTTATATTCTTAATATTTTTGTTTCTAATCCTGCGTTTTTATTGACACACGCTGTATACTAATAAGTGCAAAGGGTGTTTGTGTGTGTGTTAACCAACTGTAGCAGCTTTGCTTGAGCATTTGGTTAACACACACATAAACCCTTTGCACTGTATAGAATAGTGGTGATATAACTGTTATATGTGTGGCTGAAGTGGGAGGGGGGATATATGTGGTGTGTTAGTAAAAACAAATTCTTTCAATACAACGAACAGTACACTGAAGTTTGCTTTGGGTTACATGTAACTCATTAGCAACTGTACTACATTAGCAACTGTACTACATTGTATTACATTGTGTTTATTCAATGGTGAATCCATAGAACCATGGAGTGCTTGGGTGGTTTCGGGCGCTACAGAAATAGGCAGAGCGGTTCCGGGCGCTACAGTGACTATTAAATGGGTTCAGCTACATAGCGATATGGAAATATTGCAGTAACTCTGAAACATGAATAATAACATGTAAGGCCAAAAAAAAATAATAACCCGGTCTCTGGTCAGCGCGTGCGTCGATTTTAATCATGCGCGTCAATTTTTTTTTTTTCAAAATGTTCCACGGTAGCTCCAACAGCGCCCTCTTTTGCCGCACTTCCTCAATTTTTTTTTACCAAAGAGCACCAAGGAATGGGAAATTGCACCAAGGCAAATGATCGAAAGCACCAAGGCAAATTATGGAGGACACCAATGTACATGAGGACACCAAAAAAGCAAAATAGTACCCCACCTTGTCTGTACAATCCAAGCTTGAAGAAATTCCGGAACTTTGGTCTGACCAGAGACCGAATATTTTTTTTGGGGCCTAATAGCTGATATTGTGAAGTTGTTTGTCTCACACTGAACAAATACACGTCTTGCACTGTTTTACAGTATTCACCAGATGACAGTAAATAAACATTTAACGGCATCTTTCTGTTGTCTTGTTTTTATATCATAGTGAACACTGAGGTGTTTGTGCTATACGTCTCTATTGGCTGCTGTATTGGAATCATAGGAACGTTACTGTGGTGTGTTGTAAGACTGAAATGTCAGCATTATCACTTGAAGAAGAAGATGGAAGAGTCAGGTAGGTTATGCATAGTTTATTGCATTAAGTATCATTGTTTAAAATCTTACCACTCGACCCATGAGCTTGCCGGGGTAAGCTGGCTCGTTCAACCCTGATATAGCAGCAGGTACCACAACCGCGGGTTTGAGTGTAAATTTGGTTCTCACAATCACTCATATCAGGACAACACATAATATACAGTGTGGAGTACTGTGGCCTCGTGGTTAAGGGCACTGATTCATGGTCTGCGGGTAAAGCTGCAGGTTGTGGGTTCGAGTCCTGGCGGGGTCATGGTGCGTGTGCCCTTGGGCAAGGCACTTTGTCACTCATTGCTTCTCTCCACGCAGGAGTAAATGGGTACCTGTGAGGGCAGAGATGGTTATTGTGATTGAATTAGCTTCCTTGCGCCTAACAGGCTGCATCGAGCTGTATACTCCCCAGGGAGCTGAGATGGTATTTGGAATGTTTTATGTGCCCAATGAGCAGGGGTAATAATGATGTAGCGCCTTGAGCACCAGTCCTGGTGGATACGTGCGCTTTATAAATATCCACTATTATTATTATTATTATTATTATGAAATACGTCGGTGAAGGGCAAACCCACTGTTGAATTTGCATCACTCTGACGCTAATTCCATCTTATGAATAGATTTTTTAATGGCTGACAAAAATGTCAGATGAAGATCGGTCTACAAATTCAATTTTAACATCTCTACTTCACTGGGTGATCTTGACCTTTAACTTTTTCACTTCACATCTAACACATGGGATTTTGTGACGTCACATTGTGAGTGGCATTCAGACCGGTGATTATGACGCAGTGATATGACATCACAAAAATGCCATCTGTAGGCTTCAGGAGGTTCTGCCACCTTTTGAGACATTCTTCATTTTTATTAAATCAACCTCTTGGCATATGAGAACTATTTCCACAGTTATTATCATGCTCACAATGTGTCTGTTGTTTTGCACTTTTGGCCTTGACATTTCAATTTATTTATCTCCAAATCGCTTCTTAGTTACACAAAGGTCAATCAACAAAGTAAATTGATTCCAATACTCAAATATTTCTCAATGAGAACATTTCCGGTTTTCGTCTTCCTTATGGTACCAATCTTACTTATTTAAGTTATTTTTGCACCAACTCATGATTGATTTATGTTGAAAAATACAACAAATTTATCATTTACAAAACTATGGTTATTTCATTTGAATGTATTTGTGCATGCCTGCTTGTTTTACTAAAAAACAGATTGTCATCCTGATCGGTATGATATGAACCTGTCTTGTACAACCCTGTGTTGAAGTCGCATCCATTACTTGTCCATCATCACCAGTCAATTCACAAGTAACAGGGGATGAAGAATAACAAAAAGCAATGGCTTTACTTTTGTCACATTTATTTAAATGGCTTGTGCGTTGGGACTGAATAAGTTGTGATGGACATGTGGTTGACTGAACCTCAATATCGGTACAACCAATTTGCTTATTACTATTCTTTTTGTGTGTGTTGCATTTACAGGCACCTCATCAAATACAACTGAGGCAAATAGAACACCTCCTGGGAATGGTTCAGTGCTTGAATCAGTTCGACAGGAGAATAGAGTAGACATTAATGAAATCTGGAATACTCCGCCACCCTCAGCGTCGTCAGTCAGACCAGAGAACGGCATCAATGCAACCCGTCGATGGGAACAAGCGAGTACATTGCCTAGGGAAGCACATACCCTCCCAGCAACACGGAATCTCAACAGTTACTTCCCCTGACTAGGCCGGGGGTCTCATCTTTCAGCTCATGAATATGCATTAGGTCAGGATGATGACTCTATCTGAACTGGCAGGCACATGAGAAAGATGGGTCCCAATCATGTTCACAAGTCCCTGTCATATGTGGCTTCCTAGCTTGGCTGAACTGGACTTGGTTCAATGACCACAAATACTGATCCATTAAGGCCTGGCCAATCACTCTGTGATTGTGCAACTCAATGTTTGAGGAATGTCCAACGTGTGCACGTGCGTATGATGAATGTGGCTGGAATATGCCAAACATGCAGAGGCCAGTGTGTTGTTGCCCACGTGCGCAGTGGGTGCATGAGGGCTTCATGATCCATCTGTTGATGAGTGAATACCACGTTGTCATCATTAATAACAGGTGACTGATAAGACATATGCAGGTCTCTTTGATCAATTGCACTTGATGCTCACTGGATCTCATGCACACCTCAACTTTCCAAGTGCTCACTCATTGTCAGCCGACTGTTAAGATACCTGTAAATGTACACGTCTTCTAGGATCATTGGATCTGATTCTCACTGACTCTTTGCCAAGTGCTCCATCATTATCAACTGACTGTTAAGATTATGTTTCTTTGATGAATGTGCATGTGATGCTGACTGGACTCTTTGCCAAATGCTCACTCATTGTCAGCAGACCCTTGAGATGCACATCTTCAGTGAATTCACAACTTGCACAACTTCAGTGTCTACTGGATGCTCTGCCTCATGGGATTTGTGCGCCATGCTCAAGACACTCAAAGTATGCTTCATGCTCACTCCATCCACTTGTCAATGATAAGGTAAAGATAGTATGTGATGATGTCATTGGTTGAATACACCACCCAAAGAATGCATGCACGTAAGCCCAAGGGGAATTTGTGAACAAATTCCTATAAAAACGAGGCGTGAGGGGGACACGGGAGTTACTTGATAATCAGTGCCATGTTAGACATCCTAAAGCTACTGCTCTACTTTGGAGACTTTTTGTCTTCAGACCAAATTTCAGCATAAACAGAAGTTTCAATATAAACTGAAGGTTAATATTGACACACATTTGTTAATCGATTCACATCCACAATTTAAGTAAAGTTGGCCTCAACATTCAGAGCAAATGCTGAAATATTCCAAATCGTACGGTGTTTAGCTGATTGTGGTTTAAGCTTACTTTTTACAGATCATGTTCGAACGTTGACCAAAAATTGATAAACAGGGTCCCTATCAAGCAAACCAAACATTCCGCAATGTTTGTAGTTACTTTGCCAAAGTGTATTAAATATTAACTTGAGGTTTTAAAATACATGTGAACCACTCCTTATGAATTATTTATAAAATTATATTTATATATGTATATGAGTAATGTGGTACAAAACTGACTTTTCATTGTCCAATAGCATATCTTATACATTACCAACCTATACATACCTTTAAATGTAGTGTGTAAATGTTTAACATGTTTTTAAATATTTTATTACACAATTTCTCAAAAATTTGACTCATATCATCAGCAGTTGCATATAAATCAAATTTAAAAAAAAAGACTAGAAGGCTGGACAGTTAAGTGAATGAAGGCGCTCTTAACACAAATTGAGTAGCAACTGGCTCATATCAAACGCCCTCAAGGTAAGATGTGTGAGCAGTTAGTAACACATCTCGATATAAAAACTAGATTAACACACTTGATTTTCAGTGCCAAGCATGTTACAAGTACGTGTACATTATACTTTGTAAAAGTAGTCTTGGTGCAAGACTGGAGTGGGATTATATTCCACTAACATAGCCGGTCCCTGACAAGTAGGGAACATTTTGTAAATATGATTTTGGTATTCCTATTGGTCGAAGGAGCCCAGAGTGCGTATGTACTACCCGAGTGCGACTCGTGTCAGCCTGGTGCCACCGCAGAAAATGGCTGCCACCAAATTTGTCTATAGCTGGTCCATGACAAGCCTGGTTAATCCGCTGAGCAGTAGAGGTCGCTAACAAGATTAATCAAATGAAATCTTGGACATTTTGGCAGGGCTACCCAGGAAATTCTAAGCATACCTCATGTGTGCTGTATTCAAGCTAATCCATGTGCCTCAGGTATGCTCAGAATTCCCTGGGTAGCGCTGCCAAAATTCCCAAGACTGCATTGATTAATCTTGTTGATAGCGACCTCTACCACTCAGCGGATTAACCAGGCTTGTCATGGACCAGCTATAGACAAATCCGGTGGCAGTCATTTTCTGCGGTGGCACCAGGCTTGCACGAGTCGCGCTCAGGTAGTACACATGCACTCCGGGCTCTTTTGACCAATAGGAATACCAAAATGCAATATTTAAGAACGCATGCGCATGAGCAAGACACAACCGCAGTAAAAGCTTGTAATTCTAGCTGCCCAATTCCACTATATTCATAGAAATCCAAGTCCAGTCTTGGACCAAACTACGTTGAAGAGGCTTGAAGACGCATTCAAACCAATCGTTGAGGCTCAGCATTATGTGAACTCCTAGGCATTAAATTGCATTTGTTTTTGCCAAGACGTACAATTTAAATTTGACAAGAATCAACTGAAATATTTTCAGATACATGTATCTTTATTGTTGTACTTCATACAATGAATAACAATATGATCACAACGTTCTGAACTGCGCTTTATGCATATTTCTCATCCTTTGTAGTATGTAGACATACAGTAGTAATTGCATATGTGTTAACATCTTAGAAAGGACGGCTAGTGTATTCATTTTACTCAGGAAATGTAATATTTTTGTTTGAAAATAATCAGTCTTAAAAACAAAGTAAATATTGTTCATTTTGTCAATTGCAAGTACATTTCCTGTGGTTATACGTGTATTCTTGATCCTGACATACAACTGATTCTTACGAAAAATCCTTTAACGTAAAACAAAATGTACATGTAATGAGCTTCTAGCTGCAATGAAGTTGTACATGAATGGAAAACAAACCTTCACAAAATTTGGCAGCATCAGTAATTGTGAGCATCTTTTTCCAAATTTTAAAAATACCTTCAACTTATTTATCGGTAAATGTCCATTTGAACAACTCGGCATGCAAAAACAAAATGTACTTCTCTTTAGGTGAGAGGCTTTCAACCAAAAGGGAAAAATACCACTCTGTCTGAGGTATCATGAATATTCATTTCATCCATACATTTGACTGACACTATATGAATTGTAGTTTAAAGCTGTAGGGTTGTGTGAAGACTGTCATGAAATATAGTCGGTATTTATATGAGAACATATCATAGTAATACTTCCTATGTACCATCAATTTGGTTTGAATGACTGCATACATTAAGCATAATGTATTGTTGCTGTACAGTCAACAGTCAGGGTACTACTTCAGAAGTAACACTAAACATGCTGTATATAAAGTTGTCATCAAGTCACAAACCGAGAACTTAACATTAGAATATTTTTTTAATTTCTACCTCAAGTAATAGATTTGCCAATTGGTTATTTATGCTTACAAATGCTTTGCTCTTTTAAATGTGAAATGATAAATTATGAGAAAAAAATGTTAAAAATGGCAAAACCTGCACAATGTGTCAATTGATATATGTTAAATCATTACAAGGTGGTTCAAAGGCTTGAAGGGAATAAAAACCCATCATTAGGGACCAATTTCATGGGAGTTACACAGAAATTGCTAAGCACAACCAGGCTAGCATTCAAAACATCATGTGATGTACACGTTGTTTGTGACTGGTTCTAATCTAATGTTTTATTAGTACATGTATATCACATTTGCTACGCAATGTTTTCAGGTAATTTAGTTGCTCAATGAAATTGGTGCCTACAAAACAGCTCCTCTTCAACACAATACAGCATCCAGAGATTGCCACTCTATCGTCTAGCATGCACAGCATTAGACTTGAATTCAAGTTGGCAATTGGCTGGGTTTTGGTTGCTCGTGGTGCGCCACACCGCGATATAGACAGATACCATATACGGTACCATTTTGGGGTTTAGTTACAACGTACGATTAGTATGTGGTATGGTACTAGCACCCGAGGATAGGTGTGCATCTTTGACCCCAATGCATGTACTTTGACTCTAACATGATACAAAGTGCCATGCTGGTACATATTGGCAGTGCCGTCCGACAAAACAAACCTGTCCAGCGACTTGCCCTCAAGTCAAGAACAGCAAAGAACAGCATTGATATTTTATCGATTTTTAAACCAATACTATTTATTTGTAATATATTCTACAATGTACTTCTCGGTTACTGTCTTGTTTTACAATTAAAGACAAATTTATGATTCATATTTTATCAATATTAGACTCCCACCTGTTATTGTAAAAAAGTTTTATCACAAGAAAACATGCATTTTGTAAAAAGACGTGCATGTTGTTATGGATAAACAGTCGTACAAGTTTGAATGTACAAGAATATAGATCGTATGGGCTGTGTAAATTATTCGTGCGTCATCTTACTGTGTATCATTTTCTATGCTTCCATTGTACATACATATATTTATATTATCCTAGAACATACAAACTGTAAATAAAATAATGTATCTCAAAGTACAGTATCTCTCCTTTAGTCCATTCATTGCAGTCTGTTTTCGTAATTAACCCTAACCCTCCTCAATCCTCCAAAATCCTCCTTGTGGTTTTGGAGGATTTTGGAGGATTGAGGCTGAATGGTATTTTTTTAGATAAGGATTTTGGAGGATTGAGGCTGAATGGTATTTTTCAGAAAAGGATTTTGGAGGAATGAGGCTGAATGGTATTTTTTCAGAAAAGGATTTTTGGAGGATTGAGGCTGAATGGTATTTTTTCAGAAAAGGATTTTGGAGGATTGAGGCTGAATGGTATTTTGAGGCAGGACAGTCTGACGATTTTGAAGGATTGAGGGGCTTGGTACCTTCATTTGAACATAAGTGCAACATTTTTGGATGAGGAGGATTTTGGAGGATTGAGAATTAATGCATTTTGAGGCAGGACTGTCTGAAAATTTTGAAGAATTTAGGCGCTATTGTAAAATTTTGGAGGATTTTGGAGGATTGAGGATGGTTCCTAGCAAAAAGGCCTAGGGGTTAGGGTTAAAACCTGAATTCTTTCATTTGAATCTCACTTAAGATGCTTTACCCTGGCCAGAAAAGTATGTTAGTGAAGGCACCAACATAATTTTCTGGCCAGTGTTGTGGTCAAGTTGATAACAAGCCCATGACGGGCCAATCCTGAATAATCTAGTCAAGTCATTCCAATGAACCATGACGAAAGCGCGCTTTACCCGTCACTGCCAGCATGTCTCATGTACTGTCTACAGTGTGCATATTTACAAGTCGGTGGTCATTCATGTTCATGTCACCGTGGTCCTCCCCATTTGACATCTCTTAGGCCATGGAATTGTCTCTTCAAGCTATTTGGATCAGCCCACTCAGATCCAAGATGGGTATCATCCATTTCTGTTTCTAGTTTCTGCACAGGAGAGAACACACAAAAAACAAGAAACTTTTTTTTTCAAACTGCATTTAGAAGAAGTCAAAATCAAATTATCAGCCAGATTCTACATTCAAAACCTGCAAAATGATGGTAATGATTCATTTAAAATGTTGAAATAATAACAAATTAATATTTCAATTAGCCAAATGGACCTTTTTACTAATAAAGTTATAATTATGCACGCACGTGCATTTAATGGCCTGGCAGCAAGAAGCGAAAGCAGTCCATTAAAAATGGGTCCAAATACTCGGGTCATTTTTCTCTCAATTTGTCGAGGATTTGTCGTCTTTTAATCTCCATAGGCATTACTTTCTGGCCTAAGCGTATTTTTGGGGCACAGAATAAAATCTTTTAAAATTTGTTTCGTCCCATGCACATTTTTCCAACGAGTGGAAAAAAATAAGAGTGTGCTTCAGGGTACCCGTCCACCAAATTTCGGGCTTCACCATGGCTGAATCAGAGGGGTTTCTAAAGAAAAAAGCGAAAAATCCTAGACAAATTGAGAGAAAATGACGTAAATGTTTGTAGCCCTGTACATGTTCAATGGACCGCTTTCGCTTTTTGCTGTCGGGCCTGTTTATGTGCATGTGTGCATAATTATGAATTTATTAGTAAAAAGGTCCATTGACCAGCATGTAAATGGATGAATGCATCTCCCAATACATTGGACATGTATGCTGTGAAACCCTATAACTATACACCAGAAACTCATGATATTGTAAACATCACAATGATAACACCCTTAACATATTCAGGATATTACCTACTGCTGTGTTTCATGTGGACGCTTGAACGTTTGGAACTAATAAAAAATCTTAGAGTGTTGGGTTTTAAAGGCAAATAGGATCATTTGCTATTTGTGCACTTTCTTTGTTTCCAATAACACCACTCAAAATTCAAAGGAGAATGTTCAAAACCTAACCTGTTGAGGTTTCAGCTCAGTGGCCACTGCACTTTTTTGAGAAAACGGGGAAAATGTATCTTCATTTTGCTCGACGCAAAGCATAGGTTTCTATTGACAGATGGTTTTAACCATCGCGAGGAAATGGTCATTGCTCTTTTCTTGAAAATGACAGCATACTAGGCAAAATTATTTCCTGTTACTTACAATCAGGTAGGATTGTTCATAATATTTTTGGCAGTTTCGTTTGTGACTGTTTGCAAATGATCCTATATGCCTTTAAAGAGGAATGGTCACGTTGGGAAATGGCTATAAAACCTTCATTAAATTATCAAATCTACCAGGAAAAAAACTGTAGCTGAGATGTCAAATGCAACCGAGTCACAATTTAAACTGATAATGCAACAAGAAAAACCTCCAAATGACTAATGATAGCTTCATAATCTAACGTGTTATCATCGTGTGATATCATGTGATATCTGAATTGTGTGGGAACATATAACATGTGATGGGCATGACCCTCTCATCATGAGGGTTTGTTTTGGGCCGATCACACAGCAGGCCTGCCCATATACAATGTACATAACTCTAATAATGTTATGTTATGTTTTATTCCACAAATAGGAACAAACCCCATGACCCTGGACAAGGGTTACAACAGTGAAATTGAACATCAAATTATTTGGCAGGTGGGTTTTCAAAGAGTATGCTTTGAGATTACGTCATGCTTTGCCTCTCCTTTAGTTTTGTACATTGAAAAATATATTTAGCTACACATATAATAGTATGTTTATCTGCCGACGACATTATTATTATTATTATTATTATTTATTCGACCAGGACAAATCTTACAAACAAATAAAAAACAAGTACATGAACATTAAGGAAAACCAAAAAAAGAACCAAAAAAGAAGTAATCAAACAAACTATCGAACAAATCAATAAGTAAATAAGTAGACAATAAAATGGAAAAAAAACGTATTAAATAACAAAAATTTAAAAAAGAAACAATAGTGGAGAGCAACTAGGGGCCAACTCTGACTGGCTGAATGAATGAATGAATGAGGGTGGTGAATGCAGGAGGGGAGCTACACTATGAAAGGGGAAAGTATTAACAAACAAAGGACAAATCTAACGACAAAACATACGGGTCAGGGACAACAAAAGTAAACCTAATTACTGTTGCTCGGAAGCATGCTGCCCCGAATATGAATAGGAATAGGAATTGGTCATTTTTTGTTGAACCATTAGTATAGTCTCCTGACTCGTCTGCTGCCAGTGCTGTAGTCAAGTCCATCACAGACTGGTCAAAAATAAATCACAAGTCCTTTCACGAGTCCAGTCACAAGTAACAGAGGATGAACAATAACAAGGACTGCCTTCGTCACAGTTCACTTGATTAGCTAGCGACTTGACTTGAGTCTAGAGGACTTGCGACCAACCTCGTTTCCATGGGTACGATCTTGCTGCGCCATTTTGTTTCCCATCATGCCTTGCGCGATCATAACCCCTGGATTTGTCTAATTTAAATGACACATTTAAATTAGGACTGCAGTCGATGTATCTAACGCGCGACGCCATGTTTAAAATGTTCAAAGTTGTTTTTTTGAAGAATCAATCCTTTCAAAGATGAAATTTCGACGTCGCATTATTTAGCAAGGACTTATATGAAATGTACGTACCTCTGCGTACCTTTACAACACAAGATAAAGGGTTTTTTTTGGCCCAAAAAACGAGGCATCCATAATCCATATCGTACAGGCATCGTGCAGTTTTGAAAAAATGTTCGGATGTGACGTGACGTGCAGGAGATAACGCCCGGGTGTGCAGTCTTCGAAATACGTGCGCAGTACGCTCTGAATGGCCAGTCAGTGTTGTTTACGTATTCCTCACGGCCAGGGGTTAGTGAAGGAACGAAGGAACGTGCACGCGCCCATGGAGACGAGGCTGACTTGGGACAGACTTGTGAGGACTTGTAATGGTGTGAATTACAACACTGTCTGCTGCAAAGGTTGTATGATAAGCTGTAATTGTAACAATTTGAAATGAATGATCTGATTTCACCGCTCGCATGGTGACTTGACTTAAGTTTTGGCCTACACAGCTCAAATAAATTTCCAGCAAGGCCATTCCTCTCCAAACACCTACTAACTCCAGAGCTGTCTGTGTTGATGTGAATGAACATTTACAGTACAAGACTCGCTGAGTGGTTAGTAGTGAATATATTACCTTCATCTGCTCCTGTTTCCTGTAAGCATAAGCCATCATTTCTTTCTGTTCATCCTGACTGAAGACTGGTTCTCTACCAGGTGCACCTTGTCCCTTCTAGAATTAATTAAAATATAATAAGGAGTACAATCAGAACAAAGCTTTTCATCTCAATAAAAGCGCCAGTGCATTTTTAAAGTAAAAAATAAATGCATTTGGGGGGAAAAAGAATGCTTAAATGACCATATTATTTTTTACAGTGGCATGGTTAAGTAAACAGTAACATAACTTTGAGCAGCAAATGAGCTATCTCAATTTGTTGACACAGAAATTGATGTGTCCTGACTGTGGGAAGTGTGTGTGCAAATGAGAACTGACGATATTCCCTCCAAAATGTTCAAAGAAAATAAGTTTTGGAGACACTCCCGAACTTATAATTGTTACACACTGTCTATTCTTTGGGAACTTGGAGGGGGAGAAACACTTCATTCTTTTTTCTATTCAGCAAACCCCTTGAAATTAATTTTGTGTACCGCAGATTAAAACTAATTGCCTAACATCACTCAGAAATACAAAGCGCGGTTTTAACATAATTGACACATTTTGGGGATACCATGTGTACATTCAAGATGTTTACCTTCTGTAGCTTGACAATGATCTTAGTCTTTTCATTCTTCCCGACGATATCCGACAACTTCTTGCCTCGTTGCATTTCTTTTCCTGAGAACCATAAGGATGCATTTGCTTCTTCAAGAACATCGAGAGATGCCTATCATGACAAAAGAACAAACGTGACAATTGCATACGGATAAAAACAATAATCTACACACACAATGGATACAAGGTATGGAGAAGATTGTTTCAGTAAATCTATGAACACAAAACCTGTGCCTTGTCACAGCATAACTGTAACTGTGAAGCATGACTCAACAAGAACCAAGGCACCAGAACTGCAGCTGATTTCACAAAACAGTGCATAACTTGAAGCATTTATGTAATAAATTTGTTATGTAGCTGCGCAATACACACACTGGATTGTTCAAAACTCGGCATAGCTGTTCAATGTTTACAACAGCTGAGTGTGTACAACTTCATACTGGTCACAAAACAGTCATTGAATTGGGTCTGCTCACAATTTTGAAAATTATTTTTCTAACTTCCCTCGGAATCGGGCGGCAACTCTAAAAAATATCTGTTAACAGGCAACATAGCATTCCATTAACCTAATAAAACAAAGCTGTCAATTTGTTTGTATCAACTTTGAGAAGTTGGACAATGATAGGCTTTACGACGATCAGTAAACTTGTCCGTTTTCTGGTTTTATGACCTTATTTACAGCACCTAAAATGAGTGCATAAGTTATGCCATAATTTGTTGCTTACACTACAGATTTACCCAGTGAACATCTTGAATGAAATGTGTCAAATGTACAACTCATGCAGTCAAATTTGGCATAAGTGGAGTAATGCCAAGTTGTGTACAATTTTGTTTAATCAGCTGCTGCTCTTGGTATTTTAATAGATATCTCTCCAATGATGTCATTGCCTACAGATTGTCACATGCATCAGCATTTTGGCGTAAAAATTTTGTGACGCGCATCGGCTGCGCGTATTTCGAAGAAGATTCGAGCAACATGCAGGCGTGATTAGAACATTGTGCACATTGCGCGTACACGTACCTGATGGGGTGGAATGCGCAGTTGTAATTTGCCTACAAAGATGGTTGTCTATGTGAGGGGTATTCTGGTCTTTGTTATTGCTATACTACAAGCATTCTTGAGCAGGTGAAATGATCTTGCTTTCATGACTGACCTGAGAACCAGCTAAATCCTCTTGATTCTCAAACTCCATTCTGATAGGATCATGAGGTGGTAGACCCATGGGATACACTATCATGACAGCTCCTCTCAGCTGATCCAGGCCATCTTTCACTGTCTGATATGTTAGGCACATGTTGCTCTGTACAAGATCCTTCAATGAAAGCAGGGTTAAAACAAGGTTAAAAAATCGAAATTATAAATATTACTACAGTAGGCAGATATGCAAGGGTTAAGTATACAACATTTGCTTTTGCTGTAATTTTCAGAAATAGATGGATTTTGGGGGTTAGTATTTTATAGCAAATATTGTTACACTGACTTGTTTTGTGTTCGTAGATGCTGGAAAAACCAAGAAAAACAATCATGTTCCTGTTGTCTGGTTCCCTGACCCCACTTAAGATGAAACAGAGCAATTTATATACAGTCAGTGAATAGTAAAGCTGGCTTGTACCTGTTCATAGGTGTGTAATCGATTGCAAATGAAATGTGGACTAACTAAATATGGTAAATTGGGGGCAGTATTTGAAAAAAAAGGCAGTTTTTTCCAACGCTGGTCGGCCCGACCAATGTAGGAAATTGATACGGAAATATTAGTATTATATTAATATAGTATTTCATAATAATTTGTAGGTTTTTTTTTAGATGTTTGCAAATGTTGTATATTCCCTTTAAGTCATGGTAACTTCAGCCTTTGACAGAAAGTCTTCCCACAAGGCAGTGGGGGTTCAAGGGGGAGGCAGGCAGGCAAGGCTGCCGGCTGGAGGCACGGAACCAGTGTGTCTCCAGCCCGGGTGTTGACCCAAGAGATGCTTCAGGAAAACGGTAGTGATCCACCGACCTTCACCAGGAGACCCGTATGTAGCGCAAAACGTCACACTGGAAGGGACCTCTCTGGAGGTTGTCGAGCAGTTTTCATACCTCGGCAGCATCATCAGCAACGACAACTCCCTGGACGTAGAACTCAATAAATGGATTCAGGCCAGCTACGCTGCCTTCGGTCAACTAAAGGATCGGCTTTGGAAGCGTAGGTGGATCCGACCAAGCACTAAATGCAAAGTGTACCGTGCGCTTGTGCTGAGCTCCCTACTGTACTCAGTGGAGACGTACACTCTGTACAGACGGCACGTCAACAAGCTACGGACCATCAGCAACGCCACCTCCGGTCTATTCTCAACATCTCATGGTGGGATCAGGTTACCCATGATGAAGTGCTGTGTCGAGCGGGCATGCTGAGTGTGGAGCACATGTTGCTGAAAATTCAGCTCCGCTGGACTGGGCATGTCGTGCGAATGGAGGACCACAGACTGCCAAAGATCCTCCTCTATGGCGAGCTCTCGGAATCACCCAGACGGCCAGGCAGGCCAAAGCTGCGCTACAAAGATGTCATCAAATGCCACCTCAATGCCGCCAACATTTCAATCAACAACTGGGAAAATCTGGCCATGGACCGTCCTGGCTGTCAAACTGCAACAAAAGATGGCGTCAAAACTGCAACCGCGGATACCGAGCGGCGAAATGCTGAAGCCAGACGCCGACGTCACGAAAGGCAACAACGGCGCAACTGATTTACTGTACTCCCAAACTCTTCTATGACGAAGATCTGCCCACACACATGGTTAACTGATGCTGTTTTTGAATGGCCCCATAACTTATTTTAAATATCATGTTTTTTTTAATCTGGACAATCTCCTTTAAGTCATTGGAACTAAAATGAAAGGATAACTTGGGTGTTTCCATTCAAATGAAACAGACATTAGTCACATTACTCAGCAGTAAACTGTCACAGCCAAAATTAGAAAACTGTTTGCCTGGACATTCATTAACAGTCTTGTATTCATCAGAATATAACAAATCTATCTGTTGAGTTTGAACTCTTGTCATTATACATAAATGAAAGTTGCCAGCATACTTACTTTGGATACTGCTTTAGTTGCTTCACTGACTGTCTTGGAGATAACATCCTTCATCTTCTCATTACACGCTGCAAGCAATGACACGATAACCACTCACAGTTAACTATCTGTGTGTGATATGCCCTGAGTAATGTGTGTTCATTGTACAGAAAGGTGATGTGTTGTCAAAAGCAGATTATTCCGGGCAACTTGTTCCAAAAGTAGCTTTTTTTATCTTCCCTTTACAAAGACAGCTGAAATTTTAAAACAGATTTCCTCAGCAAAGTTATGCCCATTTTAAGTTTGTTGTGTAATGTCGCAAGACTAAAAACAGATAAATTGCCTTGTAACAGTTTTCCTCTTGTATTCCTATCACTGATATACCTCTAAAAAATCATCCAAACAATCAACCAAAAAATCACCTTTAGGCCAAAAAAACAGTCTCTGGTTTCTGGTATGCGCGCGCGTCGCTGTAGCCATGTGCGTCGGCAAAATTAAAAAGTTTTTTTTCCAATGTAAGATGATGTCTCAAAACCGCCAAACTCACTGGTTTGACTGGAATCCTGCTGCTGCACAATTTTAACATGTTTTTAGATGGGGTTACGATTGAGTACAAGCTTTATGTGGCCTCTCTGGGCTCCCATACATTTTGCACTAAATGTAGTCGGCACCATTTGCAGTCATCAGCCAACATTTGAAGGTAAAAAAAGTACACACAAAAAAAGCCAAGTCGCCGCACCACTTTTGGGGCAAGCTCCATACCAGAAACCGGAGACTATTATTTTTGGCCTTAGATACAAAATTATGGTCTGAAACTTTTACGATATATTTGACACATATTTGAGATTACAAATATGAAAAAAGTAAAAATATGTCATCATTAACCCTGACTCCCTAGGGGGTATGCAAAATCGTATTGAAATTGGAGGATTCAGGACTGTTAGGATTAATGCCCAATTTGGTAGGCTGCATTTCAATAAAAGTAGTCAGGACCTGTTGGACAGGATTATCTGAATACTTGAAGAATATTTAAAGAAATGTTAGCATCAAACCAATTAAGCACAACGGAGGTTTCACTCACACATGCGCAACTCGCCATAACAATGAAATGTTTTAAGATAAATGATGCCATGCGATCTATCCCCATAGACATAACAGAACATGTTGGTTTAACAGTTCCTACCGTAACCATTCCTCCTGCCTATAGCATCCTTGTTGAATGTGGCCCCACCGCTGGGTTCACATTTAGTCTGCCATTCATCTATCAGTTTCAGGTCCTGTATCTGCTCATCAGCTAGTCCCTGCATGTTAGGAGGTAGGCTGATGCCATGCTCTGAAAGCTCCTTCATTTCTACGCAAGGAAGAAATTGAGAAGCTGATGTTAACATAGTGAAATGTTTATCTGAAAAAAATAAAATTCAAAGTTTCTCAAAAGTTTAAACAGGTCCCAAATTTCACAAATGGGACCTACACTTAGTTTTTGTGCCATCTCCTTCAGATTTTTTGTGCATAGATTTGCATTTTTTTACATAGATTCTGCAATGTCTCTAATAATTTACATTAGGCAGCGTTGTTATTGTCAAGTCCATCACAAGTCAATTCACATGTCCGGTAACAACTAGGGGTGGACAACATCTAGGGAATGCCTTTGTTACAGCTCATTTGAACAACTTGTGATATGGCTGAAGGGACAGGACACAGTTGTGATATACTTGTGGTGGCCAGACTACAGCACTGAAAGAAAGTAACTGCTTAGAAGCACCTTGGTACTTGTTCACATCCCGGTGTGTCAACCATCAAAACTATATACAATTTACTTGTGTTTTATGTTTTCAATATGGCGCTGGGCCAACACCAACGCTCAGTACCTCTCCAATGTGCACTCACACACACACACACACATACATGTACCAGCATGTTTGATTATGGTGTAAATTGAGGATTTTGTATTGTTCCTCTTCCCTTTTCCTTTGTTTATACTCTTAACTTTTTTGCAACAGCTCTCATTGGTTTTGTACACATTTTCTAATCGAGGTCGTCCTTGATTTGGTTCTTGTCCTCAATTCAACGATGATGTTGCACTTGTGTGTCCTCAATTTACATCATAAACACACACATTGTATACTGGGACAGGCAGCCATGTTAAAGTGTTGCCTAATTGTAAAACAGTGCGTGAAGGTTTTGATAAACATTTACTTAATTATATGCATACTTAAAAGTAACGTTTTCTGTCATCAATATCATTAAACCAGCAGATTTTATGGAGCACATTCACATCTTGGAGCAAATATTACAGTCAATTTCATACGTGCATGGGCAGAATGTGATAGTATAATACAGCATACACTGGCCCTTTTTATACTAGCGTTTTACTTGACAGAACTTTCTTACGAATATTTGTTTCTGGTTCCGGAAATACCTATTTGCCTTAATACATCTATTCAACAGGCCTACATCATTCAACTCTCTTACCCCTGTAGAGGACCATCTCTTGGGAGACGTCCGACAACACAGCAACAAATTCCAAGCTTGCAAAGTTACAATTATCTGAAGAACCTCCATTAATTACATTAGTTTCATATCTTACAGACTAATTAACACTAATTCCTTACCAATAATGCTACATACCTTGACTCAGTCTGCTAATCTTGAGCCTGCCATTGTAGATAATCACTAGGTCTCTGATGAGATCATCAATAGTCGTGTTGACTGTGGTATCATATAGGAACTGACTTTCATCTCCATGTTTAATATGTAGTTTCACCATGTTGATACCAGAAACACTGCCAACCTGAAATAAAGAAAATGATACCGCAGTATTTACACAGAGCCCAAACGTGAGACAAGCATTGTTAGAATATTACAGAGTTTGTGGGTGCTCATCTGAAAAAAACACAAGTATCTTACACCACTTCGGTGAATGTGCACAGTTTGGCTGAAAAGGCAAATTGAGTTTAGACATACATAAAAACATGTTTTCCAAGATTCAAAGGTTGTTCTGTTATCAATAAAAGATTGTGAGACAAGTAGGCCTACATATGCACAAAAGAATGGCTAGATGCTTTTCAGTCATACTGTAATTGACAATCAAGATGCTTATTTGATTTTGTTAAGTAATTACATATTTTACATGTTTTTTTGTTATTGACTTAAAAACCACTGACATCAATATAACTGCATTGGTGTGTAGGCCTACTCATCATTGTTTGAGGTTGACTAGTACGGGGAAATATCAAGTTCCTGGACTTACTTCTCAATAATATTTTCACGGTAATATGCGCGATCTTGTTCATGGGGCAAAAAAACACGCACTGCTAGACACGAGCGCATATGAACGCATGATGACTTGGAAGTGCAAAAGTTTTCGATTGACGTGCGTACTCAGCAATACGTGTTCCTTTTGCCACGATGTAGATTGCGCGTATTACCATGAAAGTGCTTATTTAAGGATCACTTTTCTCATGATAATCTAAGTGTTGTAGTACTCGTACTCGTATTCGAGTACCACTCGAGTACTTTTTTTGGAGTACTCGTACTCGTACGTCAAAGTACTCGTACTCGAAATGACGGTAGGGCCTACTCGTACTGCAAAGTACTCGTACTTGACATGTCGACATTGTACTCGATCATTAAAGTACTCGTACTCGAATAGCAGTACTCGGATGGAAAAATGTTATAGCTTCACTTTATACCATGGCCTTATTTTATCGATACTTTCATTTTGAAATGATTGATTGGCTTGTTGAGAAATCAAGATTTCCTAGTAATAATACTAGATATGCAAACCTGCAAAAAGTGCTAAGTACAGCGAAGGAATGCACTTGTCTTCTAAGCTTCTCATGAAGGATCGGAAGGGAGGGCGTGCTTGTAAATGTGCTGGGGGCAGTGTCTGGAGTGGCGGAGGCGCGGAGTCTTGGAGTCGCGGAGACGCGGGGCACTAGTGGCCGCAGTGCAGTGGCGGAGGCGCGGAGTCGCAGAGACTCGCGCCGATAGAGGGCGCAATTCTCGGCGGAATCTTTTTGAGAACGAAGCATCCATACCCATTTTAAATGGGCGTGCAAATTAGGAAGGGAGGAGGGCGACGGGGCACTGTCTGGAGTGGCGGAGGCGCGGAGTCGCGGAGTCGCAGAATCGCTTTAAATGGGCGCGCAAATTAGGACGGGAGGAGGGCGACGGGGCACTGTCTGGAGTGGCAGAGGCGCGGAGTCTTGGAGTCGCAGAGTCTAGTCGCGGAGACGCGGGGCACTGGAGTGGCGGAGGCGCAGAGTCGCGGAGTCGCAGAGACTCGCGCCGATAGAGGGCGCAATTCTCGGCGGAATCTTTTTGAGAACGAAGCATCCGTATCCATTTTAAATGGGCTCGCAAATTAGGAAGGGAGGAGGGCGACGGGGCACTGTCTGGAGTGGCGGAGGCGCGGAGTCGGGGAGTCGCAGAGTCACTTTAATTGGGCGCGCAAATTAGGAAGGGAGGAGGGCGACGGGGCACTGTCTGGAGTGGCGGAGGCGCGGAGTCGCGGAGTCGCAGAGACGCGCACCGATAGAGGGCGCAATTCTCTGCGGCTCCAAGACTCCACGATCGATTGTCAGAGGTAGGTCGACTGCGGTTCCACGCCTCCACGCAGCCGTACGGAGGCGCGGATGTAGAGTAAAGTGGCCCTGCATTCTATAGTTGTACCCAGAATTCTTTGCACTAGTATTATTATGTCTCTTATATTTTCCCGGTCCCCCCCCCCCCCCATATCAATACGCCTTTACTTATCATATCCACTCTACTTTTCAGCGCCTTGCGTTGCAACAGTATAATTATTGAGAATCAGTGAACGAGGATTCAGCTAGACTTGCCAAGCGCAGCCGGTGCTCGGCGCGGCATCGACAAGACCGTATCTGGAAGAGTTATTTTTTGCCAAGATTGAGCAAGGATCCAGTTGTACATTCTCAAGAATGTGCACGCCCATTCTCGAGAATGCGTGATTTTCAAGAATGGGCACAACATCTACAAGGTCTGTTAAAAAAAGTGAAATTCACGTAATCTATCCTACCGCTGAAACGACTGCTCATCCACCGGTCACCGCTTACAATGTAATGGCTTAGCAACGCAGTAGTTCTTGTAAACGAAGTCGCAAGAGGGCGCTATTACCAATAGAGGAATAAATTCAGCAGGTGCAATTTTTTGCCTAAATGTTCAAATAAGATATCAAGGGCACTCGTCTTATTTTTTTTATCCAAGTAAATGCTCGTCCAAAATTGGGGAAACTGTTATTACGTTGATTGCCTTATTTAGCTGTATTGTCTCTCTTCCTAAGTTAGAGAATAGACTATTTGAAAAATTGAAAAGCCTTTAATATGGCCACATTGCAGAAACAAAACAGTAACTCAAAAATAACGAGACATCTTATGCAGGAAGCATGATGTAGTTTTTGTATCTAATTCCATCATTTAATATCACCTACATGTCTACACACACAGTTGCTCTTTGTCACGAACACAACCATCACTAATCATCACACTAGCAGACATTAAAGCTGGAGAATTGATCAATCTGCATGCACAAAATATTCACTCAATAAAACCACTTTAACATTTCACACAAGATCCCCCCCCCCCCTCCAAAAAAAATGCTATTTAACTCATCTTTTGCCACGAGCATTTCCATCACAATCAACATTTTGCAATGGCAGGGTAAATACTACTCTGGCCAAAAGTAGTGTTCAATTTAACCATTTAACTGGAAGAAATGAAATACTAACAATATTCATAACTAGATACCTTGCAATTAAATATGATTTACTTCCCTGAAAAAGTCAAAAGCTAAACTTCAGTATACTAAAAAAATACATAAATATTCCAGCTTTAAGCTAAGACATTAACTTTAAAAAGGGGAGTTGGGGCTATCCCCCTCCACAAATTCTATCCGATATTGGGGAAGATTGAATAGGTTGAAAACGAGTAAGCGTCTTCCTGCATATAATCTGTATTTCAAACTGAATATTCCATGGTTGCTCCCATGTATTAAATCATTTTTGGTGGCATAAGAATGGGGGAAACATACAGGTAATAAGAAACAGATACATGTTTCTAGAGTAATCTAGAAAACTTCACATTTTAATCTACAATAATACTGATACATTACATTTGTGATAATAAAAAAATATTTACAGTTAAAATGAAATGAACATGGTACACGGTAGACCTAATAATAAAAGACAATGCTGGCCCATACATATTCATATTTACAACTTGAAACATCTACAAGTATTACATATTTCTCCAAATGTTACATATTAGACAATGTTTCACTATGCAACCATTCACAAACCTCAGCAGAATAAAAAAAAATAGGGACCATAGAAATTGTACGCTTACCTATGTGGCTCGTAGACAGTTGCTCATTAAATCACCATATTGCGTGGCTATTTTATATGGCACACTATGGGCAATCTGCATTTCACATCAAAATGTCACGATGTATTGCATATAATTTAGTGAAATTATCACACAATATGGCGACATAAATAGCTTGTTTTTCTGAGTAGCATGTATATCCCATACCTACACCGTTTCTAATGGTCACTAATATACAGGCATGCAACTGGGAAATCACAAAAAAAAGAGGAAATTCAAATCTTTCCAAGACTTTGTACAGTGTTTTTCTATTTTCAATGGCACACATGGGGAGTAAAAAAAGAGGAAATCAGCTGATCCGAGGAAAAGTTGCATGCCTGAATATAAAATATAGCCCAAAACGTCTCTCATTTCTGGTCCCTTCTTGGCCAACAGATACTCCACGTCAGTGTAGACTTGTTATTTTTCTGTCAAAACTTCTAATACGCAAATTCACATTATAATCCATGTCCTTCAACAGAATCTATCCAATTTGAAAACCCATCAGTGCACTATCCATTGTTTCTTCTAATATGATTTACTTCATCTTGCAAACTGCAGTATGCATCTATTGTACCACAATACAGCTACAAATGTAATGAGAGAAGACAAGGAAGAAAACGTCAGTTACTTGAGTGAAGAAAAGCAACAGCAATTGATCTATCAAAACATCTAGCCCAATTTTCACTGTGCCTCTCATGGACACCGATGGCCCCTTCATTTTATTTGAGAACTCAAAAGGAAAGAGGCAGCCTAGAAGTGAAGAGCACTGACCTCAATGCTTCATTTCTGGCATTGTCACCCATTATTGAGAAGTACAGATATCATGATATTTTGCATTTTTCAATGTATGTGCAGACTAATAACAAATTAGGATGATCACTCTGACATAACTGTGTGCCAATAGATTCATACAATACATGTCTAGCAGTCTTTCACGCATCCTTCGCTTCACAATTCTGACCCGATCCCAAGAAATGAGTCATGTAGACATTTTCCCCCATTTTTTTTCCCATACAGCCAGACAACCTTATGTGTAAGATTCGTGAGAGGACATAACTCAAAAACAGCCTTGGAGACTTCTGCCTCATTTTGTTGGGTTGGGTCACAATTTTACTATATATACAATGAGCATACATCAAGTATATTATCAAAATGTTTCCTAAAACAAGTAATATGTTAAAAAATATAAAAATCACTTACGTGAAATGTAAAATTTTATATACAAGTTGTATTTACATGTACATACTTAAAAATGCATTATTGTTATAATAAGACTTTAAATGTGTAATGTCCTGAAAGAGTCGTAAGCAAGAAATGATGCTGATGTGACTGGTTTAAGTCAGACTATGTGTAGTCACTTGATGAGCAAATGGCAAGGAGAAAGTAGACACACACAGCCCATACTAGTCCAATCCTGTCATAAAACAAGAACAGGCATATTACTGCGACAATACATACAAGCTATTCTGTGTATACATTAGCAGTGGCTGCATTGTGGTGAAGGTTTTTTTAATTAGTACCTAGTTGTGGGTAGGGCTGGCCCAAATATGCCCAATATTTGCATATTCAATCTTCAACTAAATATTCGAATAGCTGTTTGCTGGTTAGAATATTCGAAGAACAAAAAACTATACACATACACACACAACTGTGCTGTTATTTTATCATAAGTTGCAATGCTTTATTGTCCGGTGCCACATTTTTTGTAGACGGCAGTTCATTGTTCCCATCCTTTTAGCAGGTTAAAGCCTTTGACAGTTCTATAATATTTACTCAGTGCAAAACACTCCCAGGGATGAGATTGTCAATTTTTTAAAAATGTCTGAAAATTGAAGAAGGGTCTCAAAGATGCATATCTTTCTTTACTACTAATGTCTTTCTCTCAGATTCAAAAAGTCTGATTTCATGAAAAGTCTCATGCAACTCCTGAGCAGCCTATATCGATCGCTGCACGCACATTTTAACTTGTGCACACTGCATGCGACTTTTGACCAGCGTGGCACAACGTGCAGCTGGCAGTTTCGAATATTCGGTCAAATGCAGTTTCAAGCAATCAACTACTCAATTATTCGAAAATGAACAGACCTAGTTGTGGGGACATTCTACTGTCCTCACAGTGTCTTTTACTATCACTCATCAGATGTGTGGTCCTCACAACTACAAAACAAATGTGTGTACGTATTCATCTTTTCGAACCGTGGACGAAAAATACCACAAGAACTAAAGAGAACAATATCGTCCACGATTCCCAGCATACGTCAGTGATTGGGGTCGTGTAAAAAAACTATGGGAGTCTTCCTAAAAAGAGTACAAACAAAAGAGGGACAATAGGACGTCCACGATTGACAGTGAGAACACGTTTGTGTGTGTTTGTGCATGCGCATCTACAAGTTGCAATTTACGTGTGTACATGTTAAGGCCTTGGAACAAAGGGTGAACTGAGATAGAAATAACCCCGAGCCCCTGAGCTTAAGTCATCACAAGGTTTTCATGTACAAACCTGATGGCACACGTCAAAGAAAAAACCTTTTAAGCCTAAACAATAGGAACCAAAGAGAGGAACAATGCTGGCCATGCGTGTGTATGTGTGTGGGTTTCTACATTCATCCACTGAATGGTCGATCAAAGAAGTTATCCCTTGTTGAGTGGCCAAGGCAGCGAAGCTCTTCATAAGATTACTTTCTCTTCACGGCAGGTGTCAGTGAAATCAATCCTAATCACACTTACTAGACGGAAAGCTGGGTCCATTATCATAAAACCGGGGCTTGTGTTTTTGGTTCCGTCTTCTCTGGCTTTGATTTGCACATCATTGACACCTGCTTGGCAAGGGCACGGTTCTTGGCCTGTACAAGATCAATCAAATAAAGAACTATATCTCAAAAACAATTTAAGGATAAATATGGACTCATAAACACTAGATGAGACTAAGTGACCGCCTGTGAGAGGTCTGTGGGAGGGTTACACTGTATACACGCTCTGGCTGAGGCATCATGGTTCTCACCCAAAAAAAACAACAAAATGGGGAACAAATTGTTGTGTCAGTGCAACAAGGTCATAACTCCATTCTGCAACAAAGTCGTATCTCACGGGAATACGCTCTGTGCAACAAGGTGGTATCTCGACGTTTTAAGCGAGATACGACCTCTTGACATTCTGAAACTCGCGCTTCACGTTCGGCCCTTTTAGGAGATACGACCTTGTTGCACAGACACGACGAAATCACCAATACGAAGATTGAAAGTGAAATTCAATGAGGAAATTGGATTTCAAGGATTGTATTACAACAGATCATTTACATCAGCTGTTTAACCACTTCATGTCAGATGACGTGTATGCACGCAAAGGTTTTGCAGTATTCGGAAAGGATGACGAATAGACACGCAACGAGCGAGGTCGGAAATATCTGTCTGCAACCCGCTATCAGCGAGCGAGCTGGAAATGTCAGGGTGTGCTACCCGCAGACGAGGGCCTGAACCCATTTGGCATCGAGCTTCGTGAAAACAATCCCGCACCTGTGTCCGGTCATGTCAAAATAATCCCGGCGCGAACTGGTTTATGAATGCTCTCAATTAAACCCTACCCCTGCTGTACATCAAGTCATGTAGTTAACTTTTAATAAACTTGTAGCAAACTTCTGGATTCCAGTAGAGGTGGACGAAAACAAGACAAAGTTGTCAAATCAATGTCAATAAAGTCATCACTAATTGAGTGATGGAGGATCATGTACCTGCACGTCTTCCATTGTTTCTCCATGCTGTTTCTGTAGAACAGCCAACTTGTTTCGAAGATCCTTTTCAATCTGCATGTGAGTTGCTCGTAATTCTGTTATCTAGTAGAACGTGGACAACAGTCAATTTAATACAACTGTACCTTTGAATTAACTTTTGTGTGATCATGCATGATCATGTTGAAATGAAGATGACAGATAAACACTAGAAAATGTAGGGGAAAATGTACATAGATATTTAAGTGTCACCAGCTTCTTGACCTTTTCCATGTGTGTACATGTACATGGCGTCTCACATAAAAAAGAACTTTCAAAGCATCCTTTTTTCACAGCTTTAAAAACAATTCATAGCAAATATCTATTTACTTTCTTTGTTATTTTTTTTTTTCCCCAACAATAGTCATTAGTCCTTTGGGGAAGTAATGGTAGTCCTGAAAAGAACTGTTTGATTAACTTCTTAGATGCTTACTTTGTTGCTTTGTCTCTGCCCTCTACTTGCTAGCCTTTTTTCAGGAATGCAATTTTTGTTCCTTGTTCCTACATGTATTGCAGCTGCCAAAATATCGTCGCCGTAGACAAAATGAAAAAGTGGTACTTATTTTGAATTGGCCATAACTCAATAAAAATTTACGCGATTGGAAAGATTTTTACGTTGTTGAAATGCTAATGGACTATAGTCTTTCAATATGTATAGATAGTTGCAATGTGAAAAACAGGACGCTTTGAGGGTTCGGTTTTTTGTGAGACACCCTGTATTTGACTTCTTTTCATATGTCTAAGCATACAATGTTCTGTTTATAGAACCTTTATCAATTTGACAGAGACTGTCTGCAGTAAGCACACCAAAAGGCACACTAACATCAAAAGGACAAAAATGGCTTAAATTAGTGACATAATAAAAATCTCCATGCAGGCACAACCTTATGCATATCCACGCTATGAAAAAAGTGCTTATGGTTAGCACAATTCTTTTTCTATAATAAGCATAAAAATTATGCTAACCGTTGATCAGTGCGATGAAACAGGCCTCAGACATGTATGTGTTGCCTATATATGCTTTTAACTGACTATGACAAGGTTGTTCACAATTATCATGTATTTCCCCTGGTAAACGTTAATGGAATGTCCTGGTTTCTGTCAGCAGTTGATCCAATATTTTGAAAAGAGCATTAGGTATGCAAATGTATTCATGTGACTCTGTTATGTCATAGATGCGACACTACCACATGTTTATACCAGACTATGCCATTCAGGCTCTAAAATTGGGGGGCACAAATGCTCTGAGGGGAAAGCCCTCAAATCTATATATATAAGAGAGAGTTTAACTCGGCCTCCGAGACGATGTTTGCTCATGAAAGGATCCGAGACCGCGGGCTCCCGCGGCGCCAAAATCGCTCCACATCCGTGGAAAAATGTGGAGGGTGTCTTCCGCCGGGTCGGACGCTTCGGGTCGTCCTGATTTTCCCGTACGGACCGGCGATCCTTTTCGTCTATTTTTCGTGACTGCATTTTGCGCAGGAATTTGCCGTCGTGTGCGCTTTCACGTTGACTGCCTGGCCGCCCCCTGTGCTGGCTTTTCTGCGTGTCTAGACTGTGCGAGGTCAGCGGCTTCGACGTAGGGGTTCCGTTTACGTGTTCTACTCGGCTGTTCTGCAAAAGCGTTCACCAAATTGTGGATGGGGTGACCTTGGTAAAATATTTTTTCTCCATGGTGCGTGGCCACCAAGTGCCCCTATTCTTTCATATGCTTCGCTTGCCGCCCCTGCGCTGAGTGCAACGAATACTCAGAAGGACTACACATTAAGTATGCCTTGCGCGGTCTGACCAATCGAAAGTCTACTCTGCGTAGTATTTCCGGGCTATGCAAAACTGTCGATGGCAACGCATACTGCAGCCTGCTCCACACCCTGGAAACGAGGTTGGGTCTACGGTGCTCGCTATTTGAAGCGCATGTGACGTCGCGTGATAGAGTGCTGTTGCTCTTCCACCACCAAGGCTGAGCGTTGTGAGTTCGCTGCCCGCCACGTATAATTCAGTGTCGTGTTATGATTTCGGGGGCCTGTTTGGGGTCAACGAAGGATCGATGCATTGACACCCACATTTTTCCACGGACGTGGAGCCATTTTGGTGTCGCGGGAAACCGCGGTCTCGGATCCTTTCAGGAGCAAACATTTCTCGGAGGCCGAGTAAAACTTGCTCTTATATAGTTGGTTGGACCAACTTCAATAAAAGTTAAATTGACTTTTTCCTCGCAGACGGTCTCGCAAATTGTAAGAAGTTCAAGTTTACGTTTGTTGAAGAGTCCAATTTATGGTAACACTCAACATTTTCATTTCAAATGACACCTTTACGTTTTATTGCATTATGATTTATTGTCAAAACTGTACAATCAGCCTTCGCCTGTGTACTACGGTCACCTTTTCACTGCGTTTTCCAAATGCGACTGCCTCACAACATGCCAATTTAACAGACCAACGGGAACATTTACAGACAGTTGCCATGGTACATATATAATTATCATGTGCGTAAATCGACGGGGGACAGGGGGAACCCCCCCCCCCCCATTTTAAAGCGGGGGACATTGTTTGGTCCCCCCCCCCCCCACTTTTTCTTCCCCGAATAAAAATTGTAGCCTACAACAATGATTCCATTGCTCAGAATACATGTAGCTGATTCAATTACTCCAAACCCAAAACTTTACAAGATGTTCTGTTGCTGAAATTGGTTTTAGTGGTCAGAAATTGCCTCAGATCACACCACAGAAATTGCTTTTCTATAACTGCATGTCTCCTTAACTATATCCCCATTTACATTTAACTCCCCAAATTTTCATCCCCAACACTACGCCCTACCCGATCTATGATCGGGTAAATCAGCTTGTAAGAAAATAACTTAACCTTCCTTGAATCTACAGTGGACAAAAGACTACAAACATGTTCTTCATACGAACCTTTTTATCCCTCTCCAAGATAATCTTCTCCTTTTCTGCTAAGAGCTTCTTGAGCGATGCTATCTGCTCGCGTAGTTGAGTCATGGCCACCATATGATCAGTATTACCAGGATCCACAAACATGACATCCGATTTATTCCTTCAGAGATGAACAGGAAAGAGCAAGTATTGCATAATCAACTTTACCTTGTCAAATGGAATTATCTTTACTTTACTTGAAATTAGCTTTACTCTTCTAATAAAGCATGGAGATTCTCGACGTACGTCTAGTTCACATTTGATGCCAGTTTCATGTTCTAGCCTATTATGGGGAACCCTTTGTGACTGCACTTTAGTCAACCAGAATCCAGAATCATCAAGAAGTGTGTCATGGAACCTGTTGTGCCGGGTATCCCCACGATGGAATGACGCTATACTTACACTGATGATGGAAGCACACCATTGCTAGAGTAATCAGACTTCACTCTCTTACTGTCACTCTCGTTTGCTGCAGACCTACAAACATCAAGCAACCAACCAAACATTCATCTTGATAAGCAGTCATTAACAAGCACATTAATGAGGGGAATCCAATATTCAATATGCATTCACTGATTGCATTCTGGCATTTCGTTTGACTGATTTTTTCTTGTCCTTAAGCAATGTGTGTGCAGCACTGATTGACGCCCACAAAAACATAAGTGATGACAAATTTAGAATGTTATTTCCCCCCATTAATCACAGTGACACGTTCAGTCTGTAATCATCTGGTCAATGCTGCTCTAAAAACGGTGATTTCACTTTAAGCTATAGCTTAAACCAAAAACAATCCTAGCTTATGCAATATGAAGTGAACAGAGTTGTACTAGCCTGCTACTGTTTAACTTGTCCATCTTGTCCTCTGCTTTGGCAGGTTCTCCATCACAGGATTCCTTGGTGGGCTGGGAGGAACTACGATGGTGGCTGCTTAGCTCATACTTCCGCTTCTTAGCTTTCTGAAGAACTCTTTTGTACGAAAGTGTGCATAACCAACACAGAAGTTTTCCATCAACCTGAGGACAGTGAAAGTTAAAAAAGAATCCTGCAAGTTGCGCGATCCCCCTAGCATGCTGGCCGTATTTCAGTTAGTAAGCACACTTTTCAGATATGACTTTACCAAAATCAACAATGACCTCATTTAACCCCTAGATGACCTTTGACCTCAAATGTCTCAAGTCATCTTAAGTCCCCCTACCCAAAGACTATTGTCACCACGTTTGGTTGAGAGTGAAGTCTGACTTTTCATATGACAGCACTTTTCAGTTTACCTAACCAAATACAATGACCTCATTTGACCCCTAGATAACCTTTGACCTTAAATGTCTCAAGTCATCTGAAACCCTCTACCCAGAGATTATTGTCACCAACTTTGGTTGAGATTGAAGTCTGACTTTTCATATGACAGCACTAAATAATTAACCTAGCCAAAACACATATACACATGGAAGGAATACACTATTGCAAGATCCCCCTTTCTTGGCTTAAAAGCCAGGGGGATCAAAAAAATCATGATGTAAATAAATAAATAAATAAAGTGCACCTATTCTGAATATTATGATGAGGGTTACAGAACATCCACTTGGAAGACATAGATGGAGCAATTGATTCAAAGCAATGTCCAAATGTGAAAAACACTCTAAAAATGAAAGCTTTAAGGACATACAGAGAGTCTAGCTTATCTATTATCACTATTCAAATGAGTAAGAATAAACCAGAAATCCAAACTTATCACACTCACAATACTTGAATGTTGTTGAATAGAACTTACCTTTTTGCGCTCTTCCTTCCTATCAAAGCCACATTTCTGCTTGCACTGTTCACATGTGTGTGGAGGACCATACTTCTTTTCCGAGTTAGCGCAGCGTTGACATTTATTTCCGATAAAAGCGGCAATTACATTGCAGTATTCACATGGCTTTGGCTACACGGGCAAAAAAGAAAGGAGAAAAATTAACAAAAACATGCCATTTCATAAATTTGAATTAATATTGGGCTTTGTCCTTTACTGACGTAATTCCATAAGCACTATATAACAGATGCTGTATACTCAGCATGTTCAGTGTTGTCTTGAGAGCTGTGGCAATCGAACCCACAACCTGCTGCTTAGTAGTGCAGGTGTCTAACTACTAGACCAGCAACCTTTCTAAGGTTGGCTGGCAGGTTCACATCGGATACAGCAGCAGGCTGTGGGTACTTCAATCAATATCTTACATGATGGAGTTTTATCATGAATTACAGTGCTTATAAAAATGTTCATCTTCAAAGGTCAAAACTCCATACTGAATTGACATCTCCCCGAAGCAAAAAAATTCATCGTAGTCTTCATTTAATTGTCACACACATTTAGATCAAGAGCATTTCAAGTGATCGAACATTTCAGGTGATCATTGGTAAGGCCCAAAAAAAAACCTAAAAACTTCTGTTTCCAATGACATGTCTTTCAAAAGTATGGTTGGCAGGTCAGGAAATGTTTTTTATTTTGAAGATTTTTTTCGTGCTGATTGAATGGAGCATTCACACCAGATGTGTATTTCTCCACTTGAATAATTTTCATTTGCGCCACGAAAGCCATCGAAACTGGCCCCCCAAAATGATTTTTTAAAAAATGCCTTAATTAAGGGGCCGTTCACAATTATCAACATTTTCACGAGCGTACAAACCGTACGCTGGGGGGGGGGGGGGGGGGGGGGGGGTTAATGGCCGCCGTATGCTTTTTTTTTTTTTAAATGTCGATATGTTTTCTCGCCCGTCGCCACAGCCGACAACTGATGCCGATCGAGCACTTGCCGAGCTGGTCGCGCCCCGCGCCAGGCCCCGCATTGCATCCCATAACGTATTGTGTACAGCATGCGCGGCATTGTCCTACACACGTACATGAAAATGTACTGTATGTACATGTAAATGTATAGTCCGTATCCACTGCATGTTTTTAACGGCCGGTGTCACATGTCATGGCCAAAAACTTGATCTACAAAAGCTACAAAAACCCTTGCAAGTGTCTATATATAGACTTGTGTGAAAAAAAAATCAACATTTTTTTTGTACGCTTTTAGGGGGGAGGGGGGGGGTCTTGAAAAAGTGTACTCTTTGTACACTTGTGAAAATGTTGATAATTGTGAACGGCCCCTAAAGGAAATTGTTTAAAGACAAAACTGTTTAAGATCAACGATGTTTAAAATATAATGGAGAATTTATGTTATGCACACCAGTTTGTCACAAAGGGAAACTGGCCAGCACAGTACGTATCATGCGGTATCCGCCTGTGTGAAATGTTATGTACCGTTATCAACCACATGCATGTACTGGCGCACGGCGGTGGAAAATTTGGAATATATGCTAAAGCAGTATTGCTTAAGTACGAGCTCTAAGACCTCAAAATAAATACATATAAACAGAAAATTAATACACAGAAAAGAGACATTAAGTTCTGTGAATTAACTTGTAGAAATCTTCTTTCTCCATCGATGTTTGCTTGCCATTTTTATGATGTCCAATTGGACCATTTACATTATGTAGGCTGTAGATTGTTCCTTCCATAATCACTTTGGCTATTATCGTTAAAGCGTGTGGCGGGAACCAGTCTACCATTACTGCATCTGCATTTATGACGCATATGCTTTCAACCACCGCAAAGGAAACTTTCAACCACCGCCCAGGACACTTTCTGATCTTGCAAAGTAAGCAAATTAGATTAATGAACAAATACAGACAGCGGACATGTTATTGCATTTTTGACTTAAAAAGGTAGTTGAAAAGCATTTTTCGTTTTACGACACAAGAAACAACATGAACGCATATGTTACGCATTTTTTTCAAATAACCAAGAGACTTTAGGCTCAAGCCAGAAAAAAAGGGTCGGTTGGATAACCAGAGGCAGGAGTGATCTTTTGTTTGGGTTAAGGGGTCGAAAAGAAATGTTCCCCTAGTGGATTGTTTTGTCAAGTAGGATTGAGATCAATTCACCAGGGACATCGGTCAATCTCAAACCGATGTCTTTAAAACTGTGCATTTGCTGTAAAATGTCTCAAATTCTGGACAAGCGGAGACTAACATGAAACCATTAATGGGGGCTGGTGGGCACTTGTTTGAAAGCATATTTGACAAGGATGGACAGCTTTATCATGCAAGAACTGTTTTGGCCTATTTTACCACAAGTGTACAACATGGGAACCAGTCTAGCTAGTGGTAAGTGAGGTGCATGAAAAATATTATTAGAAAGAGATTTATATTCTGAGAGCCCATGTTGAAACATCTGACAGTTTTATGTTCCAAATGCATGAACATGGTTCACTACATCAGTGAGGTCAATCACCTTTGATGAGACAATGATGAAAGTGAAATAATAACTGTCTTAGCTTATAACTCTTGCCTTGAGAGAATGATGCTCAGGCGAAGATGCATTTTGGCCGAAACTGCACCCACTATAACGGACAAAACATACTCGCTAAAGGTTTTCTACATCATTATCGATTGTGTCACTTACATTTGTGTAGGCCACTACTTCAAAGAGTTAAGACAGTGTGTTCGTTACACATATAATGTACTTGCAAACAGTAAAAATAAACACACTAAAAACAAATCTAATGAAAATCAAACTTACAGTGCCGTAGAGCTTGACATTTTGTGCACATTTCTTGCAGATAGTGTTTGTGCTGCTTTTACTGGGGAAAGATGATGAAATATGTGAGCACATTATATGTGATACACAGAATATCGAGACAGTGTTACTGAGAGATGAGTGCAAACAACCAGCATCTGTGGTCTAGGAAACAACAGTACATGTACGTCATAACGACATTGTCAACAATAGTTTGTGATTTGAATGTAATCAAACAGGATCAGCGTGATTGTGATCATCTTAACCATACTGACATGAGGCTGATCATAGTTAAATGCACATACGATCATTTGCATTTATCCAAAAAGTAACCTACTAAATTATTATCAAAAAATCTTACTTAGATTTAAGATTGCATTGCTACCAAACATTTCGTGAAATCATTCCATCTGGCTTGCTGTCAAAAGTTCAATTAGACGAAATCAAGAAAAGTAGGTGATTTCCGATGATCAGTCAATTGACTGACTTTTGGAAATAAAGAGTTATTTAGATGAAATCGCGTTTCGTGATCAAAAGGTTGTGCGTGATGGTTTTTCTCTGTTTTCTCGAAAAGTGGCACTGAGCTGAAAGTTTTGAACATTCTTCTCTGGAAAGCACGTGATCATAATATGCCTTTAAAGCATAAGTAGAGAACACTAACACACACATGGTTAACTTATATTCCTCTTCATCTCTAGAGAAATCTAACAAATCTCAAGGGAATTCACTCAGACTGCTGTTCCCCTATGAATGCCTACATGTGCACATGAACACTTGCATGGTACATTTCGTACCTCCCATACGTGTACATTGAACTCTGACTTATTTCCACATTATGTATTCTTTTTGTATGTGCTTTTGATCAGTTAAGTTGCACATTTTCTGATTTTCATCATTTGAACAAGAATGGTCTTGTACACTCTTTCAACTACTCATTCCATTCAAACTGCATACATGTATGTGCTGTTCTAATTTTTGCACTGGTCTAGTTGATTTTGACCTGAAATTCACGTGCTAACTTGATTGTTTGCACATTGTACGTACTTTTCCTGCTGAAATTCTGCCCTGCAATAAGTGCATTTCACCACTGGATAGGAGCCTCTGCAATCCTTCAAATGGAAAAACAAAACATAATGTTGCATTTTTACTCTCATAGTACATGTAATTCATTACTTTTAATTAAGCCTCCTATAAGCACATCCTGTGGCAGCCATTTTCTGCGGCGCCACCAGGCTCGCGTGAGTCGCGCTCAGGAAGTACACATGCACTCCGGACTCCTTCGACCAATTGCAATACCAAAATGTACGTGCGTCTCATCTTTAAGAATGCATGCAGCATGCGCGTGTGCACAACACCACCGCATTAGAAGCTTCTAATTTAGGTCGCCAATTTCCACTTACAGATACTTATAACAATCACAAACTGTCAAAAACCTAACCTCTACCTCTCTCATTTGCACGGGCTGGTCACCAACTACTAGAAACCCCTATGGATTAAACCGTATAACTGTCAAAGCCTGTTGAAGGGGTTTGATAGATAGGGTGACCATTAATACTGGTACAGTTTGTGTAGCAGCCATCGTAGAGGGCGATGCCTTTGTTTGGCTGGAATGCACGAGTGAAGCTTTTGTGCCATCATTGTGACTGAGATAAATCCATCATTGACAGGCACTCACCAGTGCTGACCCACCACATCTATCAATGTCAGTCAAGGCATGGTCCCCTCAGTTAACATACCTACCACAGCCTGTCAATTGTACCAATATGCGGCCAGTTTACAGAATTGATTTTTACGTCTAGGGTAACTCTCTACAGACTGTCAATGAGAGAGGAGGGTTTAATTAATATTTGACAGTCTTCAGTACAAATCTTCAGTAACTAGCCAAGGTTGATATCTCAAATCAAATTTTACAGGTTTTTTTCGTTAAATGTTTCGCACCAGAGAGTAGAGCTGCATGATTTGAACATGGCATGAACAAAGATGAAATGCCTAGAAATAGAGACTGGTCACCAAGTTTCTTTTGTTTAATTTAAGTCATCTCCGACTAAAGAAATATTACACTGGAAGTCTTATGTGCCAGTCTATTTTAATGCTTTGCATGTTTTTACTTCTTAAGTTTTGGGACTCTCAATACACATTACAGCGAGTCTCACAGTTTCTAACTCGGTGTGTACGAACTAATATGTACATTTCAAACTGTTAAGTGAAGATAAGCAAATGTATGCATTAATATCTTGCTACTGCTAGTCTCCTACCTTGCAGAGTTGCTGGCCTTGGGAGAGTTCCTCAAAGGGATGACGACTGTTGCACTTGGTACAGGCAAATAGTGGGTTTGTTGTTGTGATCGACATTGCAGATGACTGAATCTTATTGGAGCAATCTCTTGAAATCAGCAATGATCTACATGTATACCCTCATCGCAGAACCTGTTGTACTGTATTGTGTTTTCTCATTTGCTTCAGCTGTTGAATAAATTGGAAATCAAATACTCTTTTGTTGTAAATAAATGCATAGTATTTGTACTCTCAAGTCGTTTCGCAGTAGTCACCAAATTCATTGGTGATTGGACTATGGGGCTCTGCTATCTTGCTCAGCAAGATTCTGCACAAAGAATTAGGGCCTACAGTAGGGAAGAGGGAACAGTCACTGGAATCAATGCTCTGCAAAATCAAACACGAACTGGTTGCCATCTCATGAGCAGAGCACCTCACCTTAAACACAAGGCCTACCTGGGGACACCACCACAAATTCTACCAACGGCATGCAACCAAGGTAGCCTACAAGAACTCTTTCCTTCCGAGAACATTACAGAATGGAACAAGTTGCCAGCCAATGATGTAAACTGTAGGACACTACTTGCATTTAAGGATAATGCATCCAAGCACTTCATGAAAACTGAGGCAATTTATTAACCCTAATCCTGCTGAATCCAACAGGATCCAACTACATTAGAACATTGTATGTCATACACTCAACGGAGCCAGTTGGAATAAGAAACATTCCTGATGCAAAATGTTGGACTCAGCAGACAACTAAAAATAAGACGCACTGGATTGAGAAGGGAAACTCCGGTTGGACTCTGATGGATTTAGCAGGGTAGTCCTGAGGAAGAAGGGGGTTAGGGTTCATCTCCACATCCACTCAATGCGAGTCATGATAAGGTCGAAAGTTGGCGTGATATACTTAAGTGAATTTTACCAACTCAACCAGAACCAGAACCAGAAGGTAATTTTTGAGTAATAATGAACACCTTCGACTCTAATTGGATCGCAACTAAATAGCGACACTACACTACACGAGGCGATCGAGTATCTACAGGCCAGGTTCAAGTCGGCCTAATTAGTATATGGGAACAAAATCCACTTTTAAATTATTTGGCCTACCAAAAAAATAGTTGGCGACATTAAGAACATACAGCATTATGTCATAGATAAAGGGCAGGGTTTTGAATTGTGAGGAAAATTTGGAGGTAAAATGACAATGACAACAAAACACGACATGGAAATAAAGATTGCGATCACCGCAAGTCGCGCTACACATCCACAGCACCTACCTGTCATGCCAGTCCACAAACCGCATAGGAAAATTGCAATTTCTACCCCAAGAAATTGTTCAAAAATACAATAAAAGAAGTCAGCTTTAGGTTGACAATGTCATTTTTTAGTAATAAAAAAACAATCTTGATTCTTTTTTCATCGAAACAAAACAGGGGCCCTACACTACACGATCACCCAGACACGATATGAATTACATGTAGGCCTACATACGGATCCGACGTGGGTAATCCTTACTTTTAGGACCCCGTTCCTATATAGGAAGGGAAAGACTCACCAAAACAGTTGACTAAATGACACTCCAAATTGACATTCTGATACTTCTTGGCAAATCTGAACAATTGGCATTGACACCTTCTTGAATATCAGCAGGTTTAATTTTGTGGAAAGAGGGCAGGGCTTTGATTTATGAGGGAAATTTAGGGGTAAAAGACGGCGATGACAACCAGAAAACAGACTCAAAAACCAAGATGGCAAACGTGAAAGCTCGATGTGATGAAAGCTCGATGCTGATTGGCTGATAAAAAATAAACATCTTATTTATTTATTTTTAGACTGGTTCCCAGACCAAAACATTCAGGAATAGTCAGAATCTTTTGGTCTGAGATTGAGAACCAGACTACATTGTAATTTATTTATTTTTAGTCTGGTTCCCAGACCAAAAGATTCAGGAGTAGTCAGAATCTTTTGGTCTGGGAACCAGACTAATTAATTTTTTAAGCAGCCAATCACCATCGGGCTTTCATTATGTAGGGCTTTCACGCGTGTGAGAACTACACGTCTGACTGCGAAAAAAGGTAGGAAAGTCACATTTTCTACAAAAGTGCTTTCAAAACTACAACTAACATGAGTTTATATGAAGAAAAAAGACTGCTTTAGCCTGCAAAAGTCACTTTGGTACTGGACAGTCATCTGCAAAAGTCAGTTTTGAACAGAACTTGTAAAAAATAGAGGTGTCCTAAAAGTAAGGATTACCCCGACGTGAATGTGCACAACCAGCATAGGCCTACATCATGATTTGATAAAAAAAAAATAATTGCCAAGGGCAGGCGGCAAAATGTACTCTTATTATATTTCTTTATACTGTACTCCAAAACATTAACAGTTAAACATAATAATCAGTTAACACAATAATCCGTACCCATTTCTGATGGTGCAGTGTCCATACAAGTGCGTATTTTATTAGAAAATTCACACCGTCAGAATTCGTTTAATGATTGATGGCGCCTAGCTAGAACTTGAAGAACGCCCTCTATAGACCAGGAAATTTAATATTAGGAATTTTGATTAGTTCGTCCATGATCGACCAGCTGCAGCTGAAGGTTTCCAGTACATACAAAAAAGAGATTTGGATTTCTGCAAGGCATATTTCTGCTGATGGGAATGTGGAATGTTTAGTCCTCCACCTTTGAGGCGCCACCGAGAGAGATCGTCAAAATAAAATCCAAATTCCTGTCATCAGTTACCTCACAGAAAACTTACGGCCGAACGTGCAGCGTACAAATATAAAATAAATGTGAAATTTTGCTGGCTGGAAATGGGAGCATTGGATTGACCTCTTTTAGGACCTCGAACTCTCAGATATGGAAATATTGCGTTCGTTCAAATATCTGACTGGATAAAAAGTTTACCATGAAAAGCTGTCCAAATTTCGTCTCGAAATTTCCTCTCACTGAATTTGGTACACTCAGACAATGGTACGTATATCTCTTACTGTTGATTATAATACAATACGATTCTGCTTTTCGGAGGAGGGGACTTCATTTTTCTTTCCACGTGTAACTTGATCGAAGCGATTCGCTCGTACCTCCGTAGAGGGGATGTTACGATCATGAAGTTGGTACGGGGCTGCGGGCCGGCCGGCCAGCTGGGGAATCGTAACACCATGTAACACGACCCATCGTCCACCTCAACTTGTCGCGACAACTCATTCGATCAGATCGGTGAGACGACTTGACAGTTACATGACGAGCAGCTCGACCGTCAGATCAGATATCACAAGGTTGCTGATACCTGAGATTCTAGCTGTTAAGAGTCAGTATTATTTTGATTAAGAGATCACCCCAGGATCAGCCTGAGAATGACTACGATAATGTGCAGGCGAAGTTGACGTTTCTGTACAACTTGGCAATACATGTATAATTTGCGCGTCAGCAGTGTTCCCATCTGGGGAGGGGCTTCATAAGTTACAGTGGAGGTTCATCAGTGCTGAATGGTAGACAGGGTTTTTTTTCACCAGACACCCAGCCTCCCTAAAAACTAAACAAAATCAAGAGGGGGAGGGGGCGGGTGGACACCATCTTCCCATAGGCCCGTGTTGCATGTTCAAAACCGACATCATTGTCAATGTCAAACAATAGTTGGTGCTATTGGTTTCCACGCCTTTTGTTGAACAACCAATCGCGCAAAAGAACTTGAACCGACCGGTTATCGTCAAAAATAAAAAAATAAACTACGTGAAAAAAACTTATAGAACTGTGCTTTTCACCGGTTGGGAAGGCGGGGTGGACTTGGGAGACGATTTCTTAAGGGGGGCGTCATCGAGTCGACTCCAGTCCGGCCGTCGGACTGCAACAAAGGCAAGCAATACATCACGCTTTCCCAAGGCCGTCCTGATCTCGACTGCGGAGGCTAGCCTAATGTCTCGTCTCAGCATGGTCTCACGTGGGTTAAAAGTCTGCCCACCTCGAGAGGCTATTGTGTGGGTTTCGTAGGATGAGTTGGCTTGCAGCTATCTCTGGATGATGCTGTACGCATTGTCCAGCCAATCGCAGACGCTTAGTTCCGAAAGTTGTCGAGATCTTTGGTAGGTTGCCGTAGATGCACCTCATCCTGACTTTCCAGCTCACATCTAGAACCATGCATCCTCAGTATGCGAGCATAGCAGCCGTCGAGTCGAGCCTCTTGCTTTGTAGTAGGGTCCATGCCTCAGAGCCGTCATGAGTAGAATGGACTCCACGGATGCACGGATTCGAATAACGCTCGTTTGAGATAATCCGGCATATCGTAGACTTCCAGATCTTCTTGAGGTTTTGGCAAGCCTTCCAGATCCTAGCCTGTGCTTTCTTCTCTCGGTATTCTATTGAGCTGATGCAGTAGCCAATTAGGTATTTAAAGTCTTTTTTTTCACAGCCATGGTAGTACCGTGTCGATGTTGAAGCACATGACTTCCGTCTTATTAAGCTGCAGGCCAATCTTTTTACTCTCTCCTTTCACGCTGAGAAGTAGAGCTTGCAATGCGCCTTCCCCAACGAATCTATAAGACCAGAACGATGTCGTCATAATTATGCGGTCTCTACCACCGTCCGCTCATACCGAGTCCAACGCTTCACTGATCCGACGCCTCATAAGTCCGAAATGACGGACTTATGAGGCATCGCCGGCGGAATTATTACTTATGAGGAATTATGAGGCATAATTCCGCCACATAAGTCCAACGCCTCACAAATTCGGACTTATGAGGCGTCGGACCTATCAGGCGTCAGACTTAATATGATACGGCCCCTCTACCACATCACCCATCCGTCTGCCTTGCCTTGATGCGAATGTGAAACCAATTAGCTCCTAGCTCCTCCATCCCCGCAAATGTTGCTAATATCATAGGCGGCCAAATGAGTCGGGGACTTTTTGAAAGTATATGTGAGGAGAGCCGAGCAGCTCGCACCGCGCCGCGCCGCGCCGCGCCACGCAGGTGCGCTATACGATCTTTGAGGAGTAGGAATCTGCTCGTAACTACCCACTGCAAAAACAGGGCGCTGCGAAGGGCTTATCTTTGTCATTATTTTGAGAAGCACAGGTGCGTAAAGCATTGTGCTGAGCTCAGGCGCGGTTCTCGAGCCAATACATTTTTTTGGAGGGGGTGGGGGGGGGGAGCTAGCTGGGTGGATTCAATTTTTTTTTCAAGGAGGCGTGCTGAAATGTATACTTTTTTTCTCCGGACACTTAGGCTTCCGAAAATCAATATTTTCAATGGTGAGCGCTGATAAAATCGTACAATCGGGCACACTATATTAGGCCTAAAAAAAATGTACAAATGCATCCTTTTCAAGATTTAGGGGAGACCGTTCGCATACTGTACGTCTCAGTGTTACAATTTGCTTGTGCAATTTTTTGGGGGGGAGGGGAGCCCCCCTAGGCACCCCCCCCCCCCCCCCCGTAGAACCGGCACTGTGGGAGCTAGCTTATTATAACCGTCTCATCCAGCGGAAAGCTTAATTGACGCGGACGTGTTACTGCATGTTCAAACAAATTTTATCCAGCGAGAGTTCGAAGAAGTTACGTCATACATCAAGAAGAAATTAGCTCTTCCCAGCGCCCTTTTTGGGCGGTGGGTACGAGCAAAGGATAGCATAAGGCGAATTTTATAATAACATTTAAAATTGAGTACAATTCCTGAGCTCAAATCGAAGATGTTAGGACTACGAACTAATTAAATAAGTACACAATCCGGTTCGTCGAAACTCGCCACTCATTATATTGAAACTGAAATTAATAGTTAGGAGAAAAAAAATCAGTATGTTTCCGCAATCAAGAAAATACGTTTAACTGGGTCACAATCAGAAATTTCGGCAGCTTAGCCACAAAACAAGTGCACTTCATCTCCACCCATCGTCGAATGGACAGTTACCGGTAAATAGTCCCGATTGTAACGGGAACTTATTGGGCTCTTGTCCTCGAAATCTGGCAAAACGCAAGAAAAGGGGACAAAACACACATGATTTTCAACTCTGAACTCATATGTATTGAGCAACAAGAACTTTAACCCATAGACGCAGTAAGGAATTTGGAGCGGGGGGCCAAGTCTGACCGGCCGTTATCAACCTGAATGCGAGCGCGAAGCGCGAAGCCCTTACGGCGTGGGGTCCGGGGCCCGCTTAAGGGCCCCGGGAAATTTTGGATTCTAGACGCTCTGTGGTGCAATCTGAGGCATTTCCTGGCCATTTTCTTCTTACTCTAAATCAAATTTGCTCGTGTTTACGACTTTGAGGTAACGTTTAGGGTGAGTGGTGCTGGCCGTGGGTCATCAAAGTTGATTTTTTTTCTTGGCATTTTTTTGTTTTTATTTCTGAGCGGAACTCGTCACCGAGCGCCCCCCCCCCCCCCAAAGCGTACGGGCTTGTTTATGTTTTTTGTATTGATCGATTTTTTTGTCTTTGTCTTCAACCATAAGTAAAACCGGTCCTGACGGGCTTTGGACCAATCAGAAGATTTAAATTGTCATCGACTTCACGAAGTAACACCCAAGTCTACTCCAGTGTTACTTCGTGAAAACTAAAGATCCTATAGCGCCGCTTGCGGCGTTGTCTTTGGTGAAAACGCTCAATGACAAATTGTGGTTACAGTTTCACGAAGTAACACCCCAAATGACTTCAGACACTGGCGCGAATTAACAGAGTTTCGTTTTCACAAAGTAACAACACTGTTATGGAAATACATTTCGGAGAAAAACGTTTTGAAACACTAAATAAAAGCCTTTAAACTGGTGAGTTACTTTGTGCAAGCAAAACTACACGAAGTGAACGCAGTCTACCCGGATGTTACTTCGTGAAAACGAAAATTACTCGGTTCTGTAAAATACGCGCCTAGCGCACTCAAGCCCACTCGGGTGTTACTTCGTGGTGTCCGTTGACGAAATGTCTGCAGTGCCATTTATTGTACATGTACTTCAGGTTGTCAGTATGTCTCCGACATCACACCTTATTTACAATCGCTGCAGGTTTGAAAGTCCAATACACAATTCCTTCTCAATAACGTGAATGAATATATACTTAGGTAGAATACATGATTTTGATGTGTTTTTTTTTTTAAATCTTCAGATTTTCATGGGGAAGGGTTGTTTGACTGACCTGTTGAAAGTTTGCGTTCAGGGACTCCGAAAAAAAAAACACATAGGAAAACCTCGTTCGTTTTGTAACCGCCAGACATCTTGGTTTTAGTGGTGTACGTTCTTTCCGCATCACGAAAACATTATTCATTCATGCACATTCCAATGTGATTTGTTTTCGTTTTTCTGAAAGAACACCTTATTAGTTGTTGTGATCCGTGAACAGAACTTTAAAACGATGGCTGTGTTTAAAATTCCGTAACTTGAACATTACATGAGCGATTTGAATGTTTCTTGTACTAAACGAAAGCTTATGAATTGGGCTTTCAAATCCTAGATTTTGAAAGTGCTACTTGCAGAACATCAATGAAACAATGGACCGGACAATTGGTATCGGTTTTTTTTTTAAACTCAACCTGTGCTAGTACACAGGCCGCCTATAGCTGCCTTTTGGGAAAATAACCACCACCATTTGTATTTTCACT